AACCTATATCCAAGCCAGTTAGTCGGAGTGTGCCGTGTTGACACCTTCTGAGCCGGTGATGTCCGTAAAAAAAAAAAAGTTAACAGCTTCTAAAGTGGATTGGGACAGTCCTATATTTGCGAAACATTTGTATGTTTTTATATGAATAAAGATTATTTCATATTTAAAATTATTTACTTTTAATAAAAAATTAAAATTATTTAACTAGTTCTATTATTGAAATAATAAACAGGAAGTGATTTCCTCTAAACTTTCTCGAATGTTCTCATATAACATTACTGGGGATGGCACCTCAGGTATATACACATGCTTTTTAATTTCTTTAAATTTTAAAAATAGAATAGAATCTCGTAGAAAAAGTGAACAAGCGAACAACAAACAATATGTTTGTTATAATTCGGAATAGTATTAGTACTTTATAAATTTACATGCGTTTTTTTATGATATCGGAAATAGCATAAATTAATACTTCCGATCAACGGAAATTACTCAAAATTTGACAGAAGGCAGAGAATAAGATCTTTTCCTTTTATCTATCTGATACATTACTTTAGTTATGGGCTTTTGAAAAACTAAAAGTAGAATAAGTTCAACTTTTGGTTATCGGAAATCGCTGAAAAGTTGATACAGAACTACAAATTTGATATAATAATTATATATGGAATTTCATCAACTTAGCTATAACGGTACTCATGTTATCGTGTTCACAGACTGATACACACACACACACACTACTTTTAAAGTGTTGAAAAATATAAGTATTGACTGTAGAAAAAAGGCTCAAACTAATTCATCAGCATTGCTAAATTATTTGTTTTTTTTATTTGTCCTGTTGACATATGGGTAAATGGCCAAAGATTAGAGTAAGTTTTATCATTCTTCTTCTACGTTCTTAACCCTAGTGTTGGAAGGAATTACCTCCAGCACCATTAAGTCTTACGTGGCACACAAACTAACGGCTTATCCAAAACAATAAAACAAGGCACTGTGCCATGATGGAGAAGAAAGGCAAGACGTCATAAGATTGATGACGTCAAAGACTGGACAGGGCTGTCCGTTACAGAACTACTCAGAGGACCGAGACAGATGTCGGAAAAATTAAGAGAAAAATCACCATTGACGTCACTATTAGGGTTAAGAGCAGAATACCTAGTCCTAGTCCAACTTGTAGCGTATAGGCGTCAGCAGGCAATATTGGCTTTTTTGTTTTAAAAATTCCAAATATGATGAGAAGAAACTAATTACTCGATATAGGGCTGGTAAGTAGGTCACCAACCAGTTCTATGGCTCAATAAAACTTGCATGAGCCATAGAACTGGTTGGTGACCTACTTACCAGCCCTATACGCCATTATTAGTTGTTGTTTGTTTTTTTCTAGCAATATGTATTTCAAGGGGGACAACACCAAGTTGAATTTAAAAATTATTTAAAATGTGTAACCAACGAAAAAGTTGACCGAATTAAAAAATGTGCATTAAGTATTTTAATGTGATATTACATAAGTACGTCAAAACAAACCTGTTTTTTTTACATAGAAAAACCACAATTTAAAATTACGATTAAACATAGAACTCAACACATTGTCGGTAAAGTATTCCTGTAATTTTAAATATAGAGTTTCCCAGTTAATTGCGTTCCCATTCGGATTCTGATGACTTGGTTTATTTTTTAAAAATATCATATTTATTTATTTAAAAAAATTTGATAATTTGATGTTGATTTACTTGTTTTAATTGCAAATAAAAGTATTTTAAAAAAAAATTATTTAAAAAAAACTTTAAATAAAAAAAATTAAACTTATTCAACTAATCCTAATCAAATACCAATTATTGAAATAATAAACAGGGAGTGATCTCCCCTGAACTTTCTCAAATATTCTTATATAAATACTACGGGGAAGGCAACTCAGGGATATATACCCATGAATTTTAATCAATTTTTAATTAATTATCTCTTTAAAATAGAATAGAATCTCGTAGAAAAAAAGAATTGCACACCAAGTGAACAACAAACAATATGTTTGTAATAGTGCGGAATATTATTAGTACTTTATAAATTTACATGCGGTTTTTTTTTTTTTAAGAAATCGGAAATAGCGTAAATTACTACTTCCGATCAACGGAAATTACTCAAAATTTGACAGAAGGTAAAGAATTAGATCTTTTACTTTTATATATCGTATACAGTACTTAAATTATAGGCTTTTGAAAAACTAAAAGTAGAATAAGTTCCACATTTGGTTATCGGAAATCGCTGATAAGTTGATACAGAACTACAAATTCGATATAATACTTATATATGAAATTTCATCAACTTAGCTGTAACGGTACTCATGTTATCGTGTTCAAAGACACACATACATACATACACACACACACACACACAGACATATGGACGAAATTGCAAATCTGGGTTAGTGGCTCTTAAAAAACTGGAAAATTTTGTAAAGTCTTACTTTTGGCTTTTTCGTCTCAAAAGGTTGCCGACCCCTGACCTAGCGTGATACAAACATGTAAGACATTGCTACTGGTATAAACAAACATGAACTAACAAATTAAAGACATAGAATTAACAGTTTAAATATACAAACATGTACAAAAGCTACAAAAACGTAATACAGATTGACAGAAAAAAACACGGGTGATCGTCCAAGATTTATTAAGTGACAATCAAATAATATCACAGATGAAATGACTTTACAATTTGTCAAAGCATTCATCCTAACAACATTATTAAACAGGATTTGCAAGTTTTATTTTCATCAAGTTTTTGTTTTATCAAGATTTATTTTCATCAAGTTTTTGTTCCACAATTAAATACAACAATTCAGATGACACAGTAAATGTCAACAGAGATGACAACAGTAAATGTCATTTTATTGCGCTAATCTACTGGACATTGCTTTACCTTATAATTTTATCACCTAAAGATGGTAGATTTAAAGTTAGTCATACAACCCATACGTCTAAAGATGGTATGTTTAAAGTTAGTCATCCGATCTGTGTCTAAAGATGGTTGGTTTAAAGTTAGTCAAACAACCCATACATCTAAAGATGGTATGTTTTAAGTTAACTACAATCCATTAAGCTTAAACTGGTAGATTTCAAATTAACCATTTTAAGATGATACGTTAGCCATAATTTCCATGAAGCTATAAATTTGGTAATCAGGATTAATGTTCGCCACACAACACATTCAAGACAGTCACCAAGGTAAATGCTGAACTAATGAGCATAAAACCATTATAAATGGCTGATTTGAATTGAAAGCGTCGCGCACAGTGCATCAACATCAGGAGATATTGGCGTCACAAGCATCTCATCACTTGACAGTAGAACTGACAAACTCTCATGTCTTCCAAATTGTGACGTCTGTACAATTTTGTTACGTCTGTAAAATTTTATCATGTCTGTAAAATTTTGTAATGTCTGTCAAATTTTGTCATGTTTATAAAATTTTGTCACGTCTCCCAAATTTTGTCATGTCTGTAAAACTTATTTTGTCATGTCTGTCAAATTTTGTCATGTCTGTCAAATTTTGTCATGTTTGTAAAATTTTGTCATGTCTGTTAAATTTATTTTGTGATGTCTGACATAATGTGTGCCAAATTTTGTAATGTCTTCTAAATGTTGTGATGTCAGTCCAAATGAAGAATTTTTAAGCAGTAAGTTTTATCTTTTTAAAAAATGTAACTTATAAAAGAGAAGATGAGATTTACCACCGAGACGATAAGTGTCTTAAGCTAAAAGCCACTGTAACATAAAGCTTACATTGTCATCTGTTTAGTAAATGTAATAAATAGAAAAGAAGAAAATATCAGTCTGTGTCAAAAATTTTTTGATAAATCTGTCACACAAAATGAGTACAAAAAAATAGAAGGAAATATTGAGGATGGTGGGGGTGAGGGCTTACCTAGTGGTGGAATAAAAACATCTGACACAGATACAAAAATTCACTATATGACACATGTCATTATAGACTACTGTCACATAATGACATAAACTAATGACATATCATTATAGTATAGACTACTGGTTCATGATAGCACCATACACTGCTATTACAGCCGTTATCCTTAAATAATAATGTTAGTATAAAACAAATTTTAAAGAGTTCACATCAAAATCTATTCTTGAAGTGATCTTTACATTATTTCAAAGTTTGACTAAAAAAAACAAATGGAATATACTAGGATCTGCATGTTCATACATAAATACATTTTGTGAAACAAAAAAAATAATCATTAGAGGCGCTACATGACTTGAGCATGAACAATTAAAAGAAATATACACGTTTTTGGTGCCTGGTGCCACAGGTGTCTGGTGCCACAGGTGTCTGGTGCCACAGGTGTCTGGTGCCACAGGTGAGTGGTGCCACAGGTGAGTGGTGCCACAGGTGTCTGGTGCCACAGGTGTCTGGTGCCACAGGTGAGTGGTGCCACAGGTGAGTGGTGCCACAGGTGTCTGGTGCCACAGGTGTCTGGTGCCACAGGTGTCTGGTGCCACAGGTGAGTGGTGCCACAGGTGAGTGGTGCCACAGGTGTCTGGTGCCACAGGTGCCTGGTGCCACAGGTGAGTGGTGCCACAGGTGAGTGGTGCCACAGGTGAGTGGTGCCCCAGGTGAGTGGTGCCACAGGTGTGTGGTGCCACAGGTGCCTGTTGCCAAAGTTGCCTGGTGCCACAGGTGTCTGGTGCCACAGGTGTCTGGTGCCACAGGTGTCTGGTGCCACAGGTGTCTGGTGCCACAGGTGTCTGGTGCCACAGGTGTCTGGTGCCACAGGTGTCTGGTGCCACAGGTGTCTGGTGCCACAGGTGTCTGGTGCCACAGGTGTCTGGTGCCACAGGTGTCTGGTGCCACAGGTGTCTGGTGCCACAGGTGTCTGGTGCCACAGGTGTCTGGTGCCACAGGTGTCTGGTGCCACAGGTGTCTGGTGCCACAGGTGTCTGGTGCCACAGGTGTCTGGTGCCACAGGTGTCTGGTGCCACAGGTGTCTGGTGCCACAGGTGAGTGGTGCCACAGGTGTCTGGTGCCACAGGTGTCTGGTGCCACAGGTGTCTGGTGCCACAGGTGTCTGGCGCCACAGGTAAGTGGTGCCACAGACAGCAGGCACCTTGTTGCACACCCGTCTCAATGGTTCTGATGTCCAGCTAGTGCTGACCCTGGTCCTGGACACAGCATTCACCTGAAGGTCATGTGACTGCAGGTGTTACGTCATCTTCTCCTTCTTGTCAAACAGAGCTGCCTGCAAACAATTCAGGAGCTCCGACGCCACGTTCTCGTAACCTATCTCAAGACTGATGGCAGCGATGTTGGTTAAACCCTATGGAAAGATTTTTATCATTAGCCCCCTCACATTTTATAATTAGCCCCCTCACATTTTATGATTAGCCCCCTCACATTTTATGATTAGCCCCCTCACATTTTATGATTAGCCCCCTCACATTTTATGATTAGCCCCCTCACATTTTATGATTAGCCCCCTCACGTTTTATGATTAGCCCCCTCACATTTTATGATTAGCCCCCTCACATTTTATGATTAGCCCCCTCACATTTTATGATTAGCCCCCTCACATTTTATGATTAGCCCCACCACATTTTATCATTAGCCCCCTCACACTTTATCATTTGCCCAATCACATTTTATGATTAGACCCCTCACATTTTATCCACATTGTATCATTAGACCCCTCAAATTTTATTACTAGACCCCTCACATTTTATCACTAGACCCCTCACATTTTATCCACATTGTATCATTAGACCCCTCAAATTTTATTACTAGACCCCTCACATTTTATCACTAGACCCCTCACATTTTATCCACATTGTATCATTAGACCCCTCAAATTTTATTATTAGCCCCATCGCATTTAATATTAGCAAATAAATCAAAGAATAAGTTAAATTATTTTTTGCATTTAAAAAATGAATATTAGTTTCTATGTTGTAAACATTCTATAATTTAAAAAAAAAGGGTGTGTCCTCTGTACCTGAAATATGCTGGGGGAGATAGCACTGATGTCCATCAATGCTACAAGGTAGTTTTCTGTCATGTTCCATTCCTTGGGACAAAGGGTTACAATGGTTGGTGTTATGGTCATGTGGGGGGGGGGGGGGGGGGGGGGGGGGGGGGTTGGAACATAATTTCAAACTAAAACATACATGTAAAGGTCAATGACCAATTCTATATTTGTCATCCTTACTGATGTCAGACCGGTCAAGTCAACTGGTGTCAGACTGGTCAAGTCAACTGATGTCAGACCGGTCAAGTCTACTGATGTCAGACTGGTCAAGTCAACTGATGTCAGACTGGTCAAGTTTACTGATGTCAGACCGGTCAAGTCAACTGATGTCAGACCGGTCAAGTCAACTGATGTCAGACCGGTCAAGTCAACTGATGTCAGACCAGTCAAGTTTACTGATGTCAGACCGGTCAAGTCAACTGATGTCAGACCGGTCAAGTCAACTGATGTCAGACTGGTCAAGTCAACTGATGTCAGACTGGTCAAGTCAACTGATGTCAGACTGGTCAAGTCAACTGATGTCAGACCGGTCAAGTTTACTGATGTCAGACCAGTCAAGTTTACTGATGTCAGACCGGTCAAGTCAACTGATGTCAGACCGGTCAAGTCAACTGATGTCAGACCGGTCAAGTCAACTGATGTCAGACCAGTCAAGTTTACTGATGTCAGACCGGTCAAGTCAACTGATGTCAGACCGGTCAAGTCAACTGATGTCAGACTGGTCAAGTCAACTGATGTCAGACTGGTCAAGTCAACTGATGTCAGACTGGTCAAGTCAACTGATGTCAGACTGGTCAAGTCTACTGATGTCAGACTGGTCAAGTCTACTGATGTCAGACTGGTCAATTCAACTGATGTCAAACTTAGACTGGTCAAGTCTACCGATGTCAGACTGGTCAATTCAACTGATGTCAAACTTAGACTGGTCAAGTCTACCGATGTCAGACTGGTCAAGTCTACTGATGTCAAACTTAGACTGGTCAAGTCTACCGATGTCAGACTGGTCAAGTCTACTGATGTCAAACTTAGACTGGTCAAGTCTACTGCTGTCACTTAGACTGGTCAAGTCAACTGCTGTCATCACTTACTGAAGCCAGGTTTTCTGTGTGCAGGAAGAGGTCAGTCAGTGCCCTGACCACAGCAGGCTGTATGACAGGCTCCTTGTCGTCCCTGGTCATGGTCTTGTACAGCTCCCACAGCGGCTTCAGGAGGGCCAGGTCAATGTCTGGCGCTGGCTTGGACTAGAGGCAACAGGGAAAAAACAGGTCAGCAACAGGTCAACAACAAGTCAGGTCAACAACAGGCCAGGTCAATGTCTGGTGCTGGCTTGGACTAGAGACAAACAGAACCAACAGGTCAACAACAAATCAATAAAAGGTCAACAACAGGTCAGGCCACCAACAAATCAGGTCAACAATAGATCAACAACAGATCAATAACAAATCATTAACAGGTCAACAACAGGATGAAGACCTGGAACTTGACATGATATAAGTAATACAGAGTTTACACCTTGAGGCAGTTTACATAATGGGAGGCAGGCACACCTGGGTGAGGCAGGCACACCTCCCTGGGGAAGTAGGTGCACATTCCAAGAGAATCAGTGCTAGAGGGGGGGAATAAACTATTTGTGCCTATAAACATTTTTAATAATCACTGGCAATATTTTAGATTTCTGTAAAAGGAGTGAAGCAACATGGCCATAAGGTTCCCAGTGTTGCCTGATAAAGGAAGTTCCACTAGCTGAGAGCCTTACGTCCCAACATAGACTTGCCCTGTATGAAAATCTTAGCTCCCCACACACACAATGACAATCTTACCTCCCCACACACACACACAAAGACAATCTTACCTCCCCACACACAGCCTTGCCCTGCAGTGAGACAATCTTCAACATGAGACTGATGGCCTTTAACCTCTGTACACCCGGCTGTTTGCAGGCCACATAGACCAGGCTTGACCACAGCTGACCCAGGGGGAGTGACCTGAAACATAGATCTTACTGTAGGGTGGGGGGAGTGACCTGAAACATAGATCTTATGGTAGGGTGGGGGGAGTAACCTGAAACATAGATCTTACTGTAGGGTGGGGGGAGTGACCTGAAACATAGATCTTACTGTAGGGTGGGGGGAGTGACCTGAAACATAGATCTTACTGTAGGGTGGGTGGAGTGACCTGAAACATAGATCTTACTGTAGGGTGGGTGGAGTGACCTGAAACATAGATCTTACTGTAGGGTGGGGGGAGTGACCTGAAACATAGATCTTACTGTAGGGTGGGGGGAGTGACCTGAAACATAGATAGGGTGGGGGGAGTGACCTGAAACATAGATCTTACTGTAGGGTGGGGGGAGTGACCTGAAACATAGATCTTACTGTAGGGTGGGTGGAGTGACCTGAAACATAGATCTTACTGTAGGGTGGGGGGAGTGACCTGAAACATAGATCTTACTGTAGGGTGGGGGAGTGACCTGAAACATAGATAGGGTGGGGGGAGTGACCTGAAACATAGATCTTACTGTAGGGTGGGGGGGAGTGACCTGAAACATAGATCTTACTGTAGGGTGGGGAGAGTGACCTGAAACATACATCTTATGGTAGGGTGGGGGGAGTGACCTGAAACATAGATCTTACTGTAGGGTGGGGGGAGTGACCTGAAACATAGATCTTACTGTAGGGTGGGGGGAGTGACCTGAAACATAGATCTTACTGTAGGGTGGGGGGAGTGACCTGAAACATAGATCTTACTGTAGGGTGGGGGGAGTGACCTGAAACATAGATCTTACTGTAGGGTGGGGGGAGTGACCTGAAACATAGATCTTACTGTAGGGTGGGGGGAGTGACCTGAAACATAGATCTTACTGTAGGGTGGGGGGAGTGACCTGAAACATAGATAGGGTGGGGGGAGTGACCTGAAACATAGATCTTACTGTAGGGTGGGGGGGGAGTGACCTGAAACATACATCTTATGGTAGGGTGGGGGGAGTGACCTGAAACATAGATCTTACTGTAGGGTGGGGGGAGTGACCTGAAACATAGATCTTATGGTAGGGTGGGGGGAGTGACCTGAAACATAGATCTTTCTGTAGGGTGGGGGGAGTGACCTGAAACATAGATCTTACTGTAGGGTGGGGGAGTGACCTGAAACATAGATCTTACTGTAGGGTGGGGGGAGTGACCTGAAACATAGATCTTTCTGTAGGGTGGGGGGAGTGACCTGAAACATAGATCTTACTGTAGGGTGGGGGGAGTGACCTGAAACATAGATCTTACTGTAGGGTTTGGTGGCCACACATGACACGTGCTAATTAAGTTTTTTAACAAAAAGGCACTAATTAATAACTGGCATGACAGGACAGCACTGAGGCATGACTTACTTGGCCACAGAGGAAGACAGGACAGCATTAAGTATAGCATGACCTGTCTCAAAACTGTCCCGGGTGCCAGGGGTCACGGTGAACTTGTACCCCCAGTAGTTGCTGATGTCAGGGTCGTAGTCGTCAATACAGAACTTATAGTAGAGGGTATCACCTATAGGATAACAAACAACTCATGTGACATGCTATAAAACTGGTTGAATACAGAACTTGTAGTAGAGGGTATCACCTGTACGATAACAAACACCTCATGTGACACGCTAGAAAACTATTTATGTTGGAAAAACTTGTTCTTAACACATAACTACCATGGTCATTGAGATTTGTTGGGCAGACAGTCTGTAAAGCTACAGGAATTTAGGGGGGGGGGGGGGGAGAAACTCAAGCTACCTGGCAGGTGAAAAGATGACCAGCGCGCATTGGCTGACCCTGAGAAGATGTGGATGTCTTTGTCCATTTCTCTTCGGGTTGAAAACATCAGGGAGTCATCATCCAGTGTGGCACACCTAAACACATCAAACAATATTGTAAAACTTAACACATCACACAATGTTGTACATTTAAACAAATCAAACAATATTATAAAACTTAACACATCACACAATGTTGTACATCTAAACAAATCACACAATGTTGTTCAACAAATGACCTGCTGTCAAACGTAATGGTGAGGTACAGGGCTCCAGGCAGCTGGATGTGGGATTTTTTCTTGTCCTTCTCTGTGTAGTTGTGTGAGGACTCTCTGCTGATGGCTGACAGAGTTATCTCCTCCATGAACTTGGCTGCTGTGTAGGCTATGGGCACCAGGCTGTTGGCGTCACACATGTGGATCACCTTATCAACCACCTGAAACAGACAGGTACACCTTATCAACCACCTAAAACAGACAGGTACATGAAGACTGGGGGGCACCAGCAGTAGCAGACCCACTTACACCAGACTTTTCAGTCTTAATTTATCTTTAAATTTTAATCAAAATAAAAGGGTGAATTTTCAAAATATAATCTCTTAATGTTAACGAACCTTGAAAAGAAATTGTCAAAATATATTGTCTCAAAGTTAACGAACCTTGAAAAGAAATATTTAAAATATATCCTCTCAATGTTAACGAACCTTGGAGAAGGATTTGTCAAAATAAATTGTTTCAATGGTAACGAACCTTGGAGAAGAAATTGTCAAAATATAATCTCTCAATACTAACAAACCTTGAAAAGATATTGTCAAAATAAATTGTTTCAATATTAACAAACCTGGGAGAAGTTAACGAACCTTGAAGAAGAAATTGTCTAAATATAATCTCTCAAAGTTAACGAACCTTGGAGAAGATATTGTCAAAATATAATCTCTCAATACTAACAAACCTTGAAAAGATATTGTCAAAATAAATTGTTTCAATATTAACAAACCTGGGAGAAGTTAACGAACCTTGAAGAAGAAATTGTCTAAATATAATCTCTCAAAGTTAACGAACCTTGGAGAAGATATTGCCAATGTTAACGAACCTTGGAGAAGAAATTGTCTAAATATAATCTCTCAATGTTAACAAACCTTGGAGAAGAAGTTTCTGGTGTCAATCTTGTAGAGTAGGTCAAGGACACAGGGGATCTGCTTGACGTCCTTACAGCCCAGCAGGCTGGAGTTGATGACTGGACCACTCTCTGGCCAGAAGGCCAACAGTCCTGTCAGGGTGTGGCGGGCGTACAGTACACACATAGCCATGTTGACCTGAAAGTATTAGCACACATACAGCACACACATACAGTACACACATACAGCACACACATTCATCACACACATACAGCACACACATACAGTACACACATACAGTACACATACAGCACACACATACAGCACACACATACAGCACACACATACAGCACACACATACAGCACACACATACAGCACACACATACTACACACACATACAGGACACACATACAGTACACACACACAGTACACACACACAGCACACACATACAGCACACATACAGTACACATACAGCACACACATACAGCACACACATACAGCACACACATACAGGACACACATACAGCAGACACATACAGCACACACATACAGCACACACATACAGCACACACATACAGCACACACATACAGCACACACATACAGCACACACATACATCACACACATACAGCACACACCTACAGTACAAACACAGCACACACATACAGCACACACATACAGCACACACATACAGCACACATACAGCACACACATACAGCACACACATACAGCACACACATACATCACATACATACAGCACACACATACAGCACACACATACATCACACACATACAGCACACACATACAGCACACACATACAGCACACATATACAGCACACACATACAGCACACACATACAGCACACACATACTGCACACACATACAGCACACATACAGCACACATACAGCACACACATACAGCACACACACACAGCACACACATACAGCACACACATACATCACATACATACAGCACACACATACTGCATACACATACAGCACACATACAGCACACATACAGCACACACATACAGCACACATACAACACACACATACAGCACATACATACAGCACACACATACAGCACACACATACAGCACACATACAACACACACATACAGCACACACATACAGCACATACATACAGCACACACATACAGCACACACATACAGCACACACATACAGCACACACATACAGGACACATACAGCACACATACAGCACACACATACAGCACACACATACAGCACACACATACAGCACACACATACAGCACACACATACAGTACACACATAGCCATGTTGACCTGAAAGTAACAGCACACATACAGCACACACATACAGCACACACATACAGCACACACATACAGCACACATACAGCACACACATACAGCACACACATACAGCACACACATACAGCACACATACAGCACACACATACAGCACACACCTACAGCACAAACACAGCACACAAATACAGCACACACATACAGCACACACATACAGCACACACATACAGCACACACATACAGCACACACATACAGCACACACATACAGCACACACACACAGCACACACATACAGCACACACATACAGCACACACACACAGCACACACATACAGCACACACATACAGCACACACATACTGCACACACATACAGCACACACATACAGCACACACATACAGCACACACATACAGCACACACACACAGCACACACATACAGCACACACATACAGGACACATACAGCACACACATACAGGACACACATACAGCACATATACAGCACACACATACAGCACACACATACAACACACACATACAGCACACACATACAGCACACACATACAGCACACATACAGCACACACATACAGCACACATACAGCACACCACACATAGCCATGTTGACCTGAAGGTATTAGCACACATACAGCACACACATACAACACACACATACAGGACACATACAGCACACACATACAGGACACACATACAGCACACATATACAGCACACACATACAGCACACACATACAACACACACATACAGCACACACATACAGGACACACATACAGCACATATACAGCACACACATACAGCACACATACAGCACACATATACAGGACACACATACAGCACACACATACAGCACACACACACAGCACACATATACAGGACACACATACAGCACACACATCAGCACACACATACAGCACACACAGCCATATTGACCAGAAAAATATTCTCACAATTATTATTTTGGTAATATGGGAGTGAGAGATCCCTTAAGCATTTCTACTTTCTACTGCATCCACACCAACTATACTGACACCATGACTACTGATGGACAAGCATAGCTACAGCATTTAAGGCCAGTACCTTTTTAAAAGCTCCCAGAAACACATCAAAGTATTACATTTTAAACACTAAGCTTTAGTTTAAATAATGTTCAAGCAATTGTCATGATTTCATCAATCTTGACAAAAAGGTAACCTCAATTAGAGTTCCTAAAAAAAGACAAACTTTGAGAAAATATTCTGGTGAGCCTGAGCGGCCATGTTTCTCCAACTCTTTCTTGAGGAGGAGAGAACTCTTGCCTCGCATTCTCTCCCCAATCTCTCCTGCCAGGGACTCTTGCTGCTTGAAGAGATTCTGGGGGTTGTCCCCTGTCTCACTCACTGCCGTCTCTGGGATCCTGGGGTCAGAGGGGTCACTTCATTGTTTTTTTAATGGTGAGTTAAAACATACAAGTTTTACAATGTTTAGCTAGGGTCAGTTAGATAGGTCTATCAACTTTTTAAAGTGGTCAATTAAAATAAAACACGTCGTACAGGTCAAAGTTGACAAACTTGTGAGCTCAATCTTTGTAAATCATATGCAAATCTTGACCTATTTGTGAGAATGACTTGTATGGTTATCTAAACCCATGTAATAGTTGACCTAATTGTGCTTGATACATGTAAAAATGACAGTTGTGAGAGTGGCTTATGTCATAATTGACCTACTTATGGTTGGCCCATGCAAAAGGACCTCAATACAAGTGACCCAGTAAGAAATGACCTACTTGTGAGTCTGACCCATGGAAGAGTGGACTGTGATCCCAGTGTCCACCACAGTTTCATCATTGGCAGTGGATTCTCTCTTGTCCACATCAGCAGCACCTTGCCTGGAGAAAAAAGACATTTCAATTGGGTTTATTCTCTAACAAGATCAAAACTTTAGCTGATTTTAGGTTAATGCTACATCCCTGCAACACAAAAATGGTGAGAAAAAAAATCAGCTAGGTCAATGCTGAAACTTATTTTTAAAAAAAATGTTTATACATGGGCTAATGCTGACCCTAATTTAAGCAGGACACAAGATGAATCAAGTTTCATTGGGTGATGTTATTGTAACATTTTGTACTTTCGTTTCTCCAATATAACATTTTTCTCTCACAAATTAACACTTACATTCTGTGTCAGTGAATTAACACCTTACATTTTTCTTCACTAACTACCACTTACATTTTGTGTCAATGAATTAACTTATATATTTATTGTCACTAATTAACACTTACATTTTTTGTAATATTGTGTTGACTGCCTCATTGGTTTCACCAAAGCTGAAACGTTTAAACCTGGATTAATTAATTAGGCAATCATTAAATTTACACAAAATAAAATTTTAAAATAGTAAAAAAAAAGTGGCTTTCGTTAATAGAACGTAAGTTATTTTTCTCAAAGTGAAGCCGAATATAAAAACAGGTACACATACAGTACATTTATATATTTCATATTTTTAAGTTTAAGGGAAATAATTCAAATAAAAAAGGGAGGTAATTCAAAGCAAGTTACTTCTCTTCTATTGACTTGACAATGCCCTCAGCTTTTCCTTCATTCATAGCATACAATGCTCTTAAGACAGGGTAGGGGATCTCAAGGTTGGTGTGGATAGCCTGGAAAAATTAGACAGTGATTGGTTTATATTATGACAACAAAGGTAGGTAAATTATGTATCTCCCGACACAGACAAATTGGCTAACTCAAGTCAGGACTGACCACACTATTCCAAAATATAGAGAGTTAAAAAAATAAATCAGATTAACTCTACTTCATCTAGCCCAACACTCCATCAGGTTTGAAAGGATATTTTACAACACACCAACCATAAAGCTGATTGACAAGATAGAAGAACAGACAAATCAATCTAATCCTATCCACTGCTCACCTTTAAACACAAACAAACCAATCTAATCCTATACACTGCTCACCTCTAAGAACAGACAAATCAATCTAATCCTATACACTGCTCACCTCTAAGAACAGACAAATCAATCTAATCCTATACACTGCTCACTCTAAGAACAGACAAATCAATCTAATCCTATACACTGCTCACCTCTAGGCTGAGACAAATCTATCTAATCCTATACACTGCTCACCTCTAAGAACAGACAAATCAATCTAATCCTATACACTGCTCACCTCTAGGCTGAGACAAATCTATCTAATCCTATACACTGCTCACCTCTAAGAACAGACAAATCAATCTAATCCTATACACTGCTCACCTCTAAGAACAGACAAATCAATCTAATCCTATACACTGCTCACCTCTAGGCTGAGACAAATCTATCTAATCCTATACACTGCTCACCTCTAAGAACAGACAAATCTAATCCTATACACTGCTCACCTCTAAGAACAAACCAATCTAATCCTATACACTGCTCACCTCTAAGAACAAACAAATCTAATCCTATACACTGCTCACCTCTAAGAACAAACAAATCTAATCCTATACACTGCTCACCTCTAAGAGGTCCTTGGTGTGCTGGTCCAGGTTAAGAGAGCCCCACTCACTGTCTGCGGTTGTCGCCTCCGACTGGGTGTTCACGTCAATGTCATCATCAGAACTCTGCTTCACCTGCCAGTCTGAGTCGTCCGTGTCATCAATGTCGGTCGTCTCTGACAGGGTGTCATCTTCATCATCGTCCTCATCATCGTCCGGGCCCTTGTTGTCATCCTCCACCACTTTGAGGACCTCTGTTGTCCTGTCACTCTTGGTGTCTGCACCTGCAGCCTGCTCCGTCTTCTTCTTCTTCTCTTTCAGGTTGCTGATCTTGTTCTTCTTTATGGAGGAGCCGTCGTGGGTGTAACAGATCAGGGTGAGAACCTGAAAGTTGGCCAGGAATATATCAGACAAGTTGACCAGGAATATATCAGACAAGTTGGCCAGGAATATATCAGACAAGTTGGCCAGGAATATATCAGACAAGTTGGCCAGGAATATATCAGACAAGTTGGCCAGGTATATATCAGACAAGTTGGCCAGGAATATATCAGACAAGTTGGCCAGGAATATATCAGACAAGTTGGCCAGGAATATATCAGACAAGTTGGCCAGGAATATATCAGACAAGTTGGCCAGGAATATATCAGACAAGTTGGCCAGGAATATATCAGACAAGTTGGCCAGGAATATATCAGACAAGTTGGCCAGGAATATATCAGACAAGTTGACCAGGAATATATCAGACAAGTTGGCCAGGTATATATCAGACAAGTTGGCCAGGAATATATCAGACAAGTTGGCCAGGAATATATCAGACAAGTTGGCCAGGAATATATCAGACAAGTTGGCCAGGAATATATCAGACAAGTTGGCCAGGAATATATCAGACAAGTTGGCCAGGAATATATCAGACAAGTTGGCCAGGAATATATCAGACAAGTTGGCCAGGAATATATCAGACAAGTTGGCCAGGAATATATCAGACAAGTTGGCCAGGAATATATCAGACAAGTTGGCCAGGAATATATCAGACAAGTTGGCCAGGAATATATCAGACAAGTTGGCCAGGAATATATCAGACAAGTTGGCCAGGAATATATCAGACAAGTTGGCCAGGAATATATCAGACAAGTTGGCCAGGAATATATCAGACAAGTTGGCCAGGAATATATCAGACAAGTTGGCCAGGTATATATCAGACAAGTTGGCCAGGAATATATCAGACAAGTTGGCCAGGAATATATCAGACAAGTTGGCCAGGAATATATCAGACAAGTTGGCCAGGTATATATCAGACAAGTTGGCCAGGAATATATCAGACAAGTTGGCCAGGAATATATCAGACAAGTTGGCCAGGTATATATCAGACAAGTTGGCCAGGAATATACCAGACAAGTTGGCCAGGAATATATCAGACAAGTTGGCCAGGAATATATCAGACAAGTTGGGCAGGAATATATCAGACAAGTTGGCCAGGAATATATCAGACAAATTGGCCAGGAATATATCAGACAAGTTGGCCAGGAATATACCAGACAAGTTGGCCAGGAATATATCAGACAAGTTGGCCAGGAATATATCAGACAAGTTGGCCAGGAATATATCAGACAAGTTGGCCAGGAATATATCAGACAAGTTGGCCAGGAATATAACAGACAAGTTGGCCAGGAATATAACAGACAAGTTGGCCAGGAATATAACAGACAAGTTGGCCAGGAATATAACAGACAAGTTGGCCAGGAATATATCAGACAAGTTTATCGTGTCATGTTTGTTTAGGATGAAATATATGACTTGAAAAATAAAGGAAGTGTACTACGTTCTGATTTTATCGTGTCTTGCATTTTCATTAGTGTCTTTAAATAAAATTTTGTTCATAGATAAGTACAACCAGACATTTTTCTTTGCTAATTGTTAAAGATTCTGATCTTATTACCTCAGACAAACAGTCATGATGGGAGTAAGGGAAAAAAATAATTTTAAAACTTGTGCTTTACAAGACTATTTCTATAGAGAGCTGAATTATCTTTGTTAGAATACCCAAAAGATGTCAGTTATTATAAAATTGTGTGGTAATGACAGTAAAAAAAAATTTATTTTAAATTAAAACCTAAATCCTAAAAAAAAAAAATCCTATGTTAAGATAAATTTTAAATATGATCCTAAAAATGCGAGTCAAAAGTAAACCGTTACCTCCAGGTCTTTGAGCAGCCAGTTCTGGTTGAGTCCGGTGCCGTTACATGCCAGGTAAACCAGGGACTGGATAAAGTTGCTGGTGAATATCTTTTTACCTGCCGTTATCATTTTGTCACTTTTGAAACAGCGGTTCAAAACTTTCAAGGAAAGGGAGAGAATCCACAGGGTTTCTATAGACAAGGTTTCATCTGAAATAAACAACATGACTACAGAATTCTGGCCACATAACTGTAAATTCAGTATTACAATTAATTTAAAAAGAAAACCTTACTGGCTCTAATTTTAGCCACTGTTTCGATGACAAAGCTGACAAACTTTCCTACAACATCCATCTCTAGGATGTCCGCCACCTCATTGTGACATGTGACCAGCTCATCTCGGATCTGTAAGGATAAAAATACACATCAAGCTGTTACACAACATTCTATTTTTAGACAAATATATCATTCACTAACATTCATCATTTTATTCCTAAAAGCATGCACTGATTCATAAAATCTAATTATTATTATGTGTGCCAAATAATTGATTAACTTAATAAAAGCACAACATAAATATGGCAGTCTAAATTTTAAACTGTTAAAATTTGTACAATATAAACATGACAAATACAATGATTGTCCAGAGTGACTTCCTAATTGGTCAACTGGCCATCCTACAAACCCTGTCTAAACCTGTTAGATAAGTCAACTGGCCATCCTACAAACCCTATCTAAACCTGTTAGATAAGTCAACTGGCCATCCTACAAACCCTATCTAAACCTGTTAGGCTGCGGTTACACTATACGTCGGCAGACCGAATTTCTGTTTCTGACAACACGGCCGAACAACTGGAAAACAAACAAAAAGTATAACCCAGTTCTATTGGTTACACTAGATCCGAACTCATCGTCCGAGTCGTCAGACTACGTCAGGCGCCTGATGATGAACTTAAAATTTTGTTTCTGTTCTGACGGAAAACACATTCTGATGAAAATTTATCTGGCAGGGATAAACAAAAAATAAAATGGAGGACTTCAGTTTGAACAGAAAGTTGTAATATTTGACACAGAGAAGCTGATTTTTTACTTATTCAAGAGAGAAAATTAAAGGTCTGAAATAGCTGATTAACTCGGATGTACAAGTTAAGTAATTTATTTCACTTATTCACTTCATTGATTAATGTTTATCATTCATTCACATTTTTTTTTTATCGACTCTCGCTCAACTCACTGACTCAACTCGTCTAGATCTAGGATCTAGATCTAGATCTAGATCTACTATGATCAGACTATGATCTAGTACTAGATCTAGATTTAGATCTATAGATCTAGATCCTCTAGATCTAGAAAACTAGATCTATTAATTCTTTTTTTCTAGAGTCTAGTAGAGTGAGTCTAGATAGATCTAGATCTAGATCTTGATTAGAAGTACTGAAGTAGAATTCAGGTCTAGATCTAAATCTAGATCTAGATATCTATCTAGATCTAATCCAGAATCTTAGATAATACAATCTAGATCACTAGATCTCGTCATCGATCTAAGATTCTAACTTATTAGGCCTAGATCTATATATTATATGTATAAAGTATAATAGTATAGGCCTATAGGCCTATTTAAATTTATTCTATTTCCATTGAATCTATTTTGAGATTAATAATTAAATTTGTATTAATAGGCCTAAATCTAATCTAAAGTAAGAGTATATACTAGATTCCTGTACTGTAATGTTACTATATATTACTAGATCTATATAACTGTCTATAGTCTATCTATAAGAATCAAGATCTAGGCTTAGGTCCAGACAATTATGATAGAAAAGTCTGGATCTAGGACTAAACCACTAGATCTAGTAGTAATTAATTAATGAGCTGATTACTTAAGTCACTACAGTCCTAACTATTTTTATCCCCCCTTTCCATCTAGAAATCTATTTAATTTAGGTATACCCTGTAGGCCTATATATAAATTATATGTATCCAACACATGAAAGTTTCAATCAGTCTAAACTGATGTTTATATTTAATTCATTTCAGGTGCACAAGCCAAAATCCAAGTGGATAAACCTGCTTGATACATTTAGAAAGGAGCATATCAAGATTAGCAACAAAAGAGTAATTGGCAGTATAGCTCCAAACAAACCATGGACATATTATAATAAATTATCCTTTATGAATGATTGTTTCGCTTCCAAGCAAATGATAAGCAGCATACAGATACCTTCAACTTCGATTCAGTATCGAGTGAAACCATTGTTTAAAAGATATTTTATTTTTGAAGACACTGATTCAAATTGTAGTCAGAAGAAGCAATTGCTAAAGATCCTGACCCAGGATTAATTAATTTTGTGTTATGAATAAAAAAAATTAATTGAAAAATGTATGTTGTTTACTGTTTTATTATTTTTTAAGAGGTCTTCAAATGCAGGCCTAAATTGTAATGGAGTATTGCCTATACCAGTAGTTAAAATAATAATTCAATGAGGCCTGTGTCTTATGAGATGTATTTCTGTTAATCATGCTATTTAAACATGTTTTACAGATTTGCTTAATAAATTAAAACAATGAATTATGCTTTTTAAATGATCAAAAACCAATACCATCTTAGTTTGTAACAATCTAACATGTAACTGACATTGAGTTAAAAAATTAAGTCTAACTACTAGGCCTAACTGGTGGAAATGGTGGAGGCCCTATGTTCTATAAGGAGCAAAGAGGACTAAGTCAAAGTAAGTCAAGTAGGCCTAACTAGTAGGAATTATTGATCAGGTGATTTGGCCAATGATTTTATTATTATCTATGAATAATATAAATAAAACAAACAAAACAACAAAAAGAAGTTTATTTCAATTAAATATCAAATTCAACAAGTTTCATAATACTTCAGATGGTGTCTTCAGTCTTCAAAGGCCTTGGCACATTGCTGCTGTTGGTAATGGTACATGCTTTTTAGTGAGGCATATCCACATATCACATGTCTCATAGATAATTGTGGTGATAGGTGAATGGACAATTCAATATGAGTAGGCCAATCCAGTTATTGTGAAGGCCTATCTTTAAATGAAATAATTTTAATTTAGCACTAAAAGCAGGCCAGAACATAGAATCAAGATCTTATAGATTAGATCTACTCCCCACTACTAAGGTATTGCAACCAAATTTATAGCTAAGATTTTACTTGTTTTAAATGTATAGATTTCATCGGTGGCGTAGCAAGGTCGGGTGTCACCCGGTGCGGCACTTAATGGTGTCACCCCCCAGAGGCGTAGCAACCCTTCCCGGGGACAAATTTTCGAATTGCACCCCCCTCAAAATTTCGATTTGCCCCCACCCCTCAAGTTTTTCTCTATATATTTTGCTATTTTTTGCCTTGGTGTCACCCCCCCCCCCCCCTAAATGGTGTCACCCGGTGCGGTCCGCATCCCCCGCCCCCCCCCCCCCCCCAATCGCTACGCCTCTGGATAACATAGAACACACTATTGTAATAATGAATGGTATTTAGAATAGGCCTTACTCAACTTACTGTAACAAAATATCTTATTTAATAAGAATTAACTGTACAAAGACACTTGCCTCATTGTCAAAGCCAAGCGTTTCTTTGGAGAAATGCATTTCCTATATGATTTTCTCTTTTCATTAAGCAATATAATCTTGGAAGCATCATTGTCTTCTGCCAAAAAATGAATCTGCATTTGTTCGTCGATTTTTTGTATTGAAACCAATGCCTGCCGGTGGTCAGACATACGTTCTGACGGGCTACAGTGTAACCGCTGGGGCGCACCCCTCTTCGGCAGATTGGACAACACCTGACGTCAGATGAAAAAATTCGGTCTGCCGACGTATAGTGTAACCGCAGCCTTAGATAAGTCAGCTGGCCATCCTACAAACCCTATCTAAACCTGTTAGATAAGTCAACTGGCCATCCTACAAACCCTACCTAAACCTGTTAGATAAGTCAACTGGCCATCCTACAAACCCTATCTAAACCTGTTAGATAAGTCAACTGGCCATCCTACAAACCCTATCTAAACCTGTTAGATAAGTCAACTGGCCATCCTACAAACCCTATCTAAACCTGTTAGATAAGTCAACTGGCCATCCTACAAACCCTATCTAAACCTGTTGGATAAGTCAACTGGCCATCCTACAAACCCTATCTAAACCTGTTAGATGAGTCAACTGGCCATCCTACAAACCCTATCTAAACCTGTTAGATAAGTCAACTGGCCATCCTACAAACCCTATCTAAACCTGTTAGATAAGTCAACTGGCCATCCTACAAACCCTATCTAAACCTGTTAGATAAGTCAACTGGCCATCCTACAAACCCTATCTAAACCTGTTAGATAAGTCAACTGGCCATCCTACAAACCCTATCTAAACCTGTTAGATAAGTCAACTGGCCATCCTACAAACCCTATCTAAACCTGTTAGATAAGTCAACTGGCCATCCTACAAACCCTATCTAAACCTGTTAGATAAGTCAACTGGCCATCCTACAAACCCTATCTAAACCTGTTAGATAAGTCAACTGGCCATCCTACAAACCCTATCTAAACCTGTTAGATAAGTCAACTGGCCATCCTACAAACCCTATCTAAACCTGTTAGATGAGTCAACTGGCCATCCTACAAACCCTATCTAAACCTGTTAGATAAGTCAACTGGCCATCCTACAAACCCTATCTAAACCTGTTAGATAAGTCAACTGGCCATCCTACAAACCCTATCTAAACCTGTTAGATAAGTCAACTGGCCATCCTACAAACCCTATCTAAACCTGTTAGATGAGTCAACTGGCCATCCTACAAACCCTATCTAAACCTGTTAGATAAGTCAACTGACCATCCTACAAACCCTATCTAAACCTGTTAGATAAGTCAACTGGCCATCCTACAAACCCTATCTAAACCTGTTAGATAAGTCAACTGGCCATCCTACAAACCCTATCTAAACCTGTTAGATAAGTCAACTGGCCATCCTACAAACCCTATCTAAACCTGTTAGATAAGTCAACTGGCCATCCTACAAACCCTATCTAAACCTGTTAGATAAGTCAACTGGCCATCCTACAAACCCTATCTAAACCTGTTAGATAAGTCAACTGGCCATCCTACAAACCCTATCTAAACCTGTTAGATAAGTCAACTGGCCATCCTACAAACCCTATCTAAACCTGTTAGATAAGTCAACTGGCCATCCTACAAACCCTATTTAAACCTGTTGGATAAGTCAACTGGCCATCCTACAAACCCTATCTAAACCTGTTAGATGAGTCAACTGGCCATCCTACAAACCCTATCTAAACCTGTTAGATAAGTCAACTGGCCATCCTACAAACCCTATATAAACCTGTTAGATAAGTCAACTGGCCATCCTACAAACCCTATCTAAACCTGTTAGATAAGTCAACTGGCCATCCTACAAACCCTATCTAAACCTGTTAGATAAGTCAACTGGCCATCCTACAAACCCTATCTAAACCTGTTAGATAAGTCAACTGGCCATCCTACAAACCCTATCTAAACCTGTTAGATAAGTCAACTGGCCATCCTACAAACCCTATCTAAACCTGTTAGATAAGTCAACTGGCCATCCTACAAACCCTATCTAAACCTGTTAGATAAGTCAACTGGCCATCCTACAAACCCTATCTAAACCTGTTAGATAAGTCAACTGGCCATCCTACAAACCCTATCTAAACCTGTTAGATAAGTCAACTGGCCATCCTACAAACCCTATCTAAACCTGTTAGATAAGTCAACTGGCCATGCTACAAACCCTATCTAAACCTGTTAGATAAGTCAACTGGCCATCCTACAAACCCTATCTAAACCTGTTAGATAAGTCAACTGGCCATGCTACAAACCCTATCTAAACCTGTTAGATAAGTCAACTGGCCATCCTACAACCCTATCTAAACCTGTTAGATAAGTCAACTGGCCATGCTACAAACCCTATCTAAACCTGTTAGATAAGTCAACTGGCCATCCTACAAACCCTATCTCAACCTGTTAGATAAGTCAACTGGCCATCCTACAAACCCTATCTAAACCTGTTAGATAAGTCAACTGGCCATCCTACAAACCCTATCTCAACCTGTTAGATAAGTCAACTGGCCATCCTACAAACCCTATCTAAACCTGTTAGATAAGTCAACTGGCAATCCTACAAACCCTATCTAAACCTGTTAGATAAGTCAACTGGCCATCCTACAAACCCTATCTAAACCTGTTAGATAAGTCAACTGGCCATCCTACAAACCCTATCTAAACCTGTTAGATAAGTCAACTGGCCATCCTACAAACCCTATCTAAACCTGTTAGATAAGTCAACTGGCCATCCTACAAACCCTATCTAAACCTGTTAGATAAGTCAACTGGCCATGCTACAACCCTATCTAAACCTGTTAGATAAGTCAACTGGCCATCCTACAAACCCTATCTAAACCTGTTGAGTCAACTGGCCATCCTACAACCCTATCTAAACCTGTTAGATAAGTCAACTGGCCATCCTACAAACCCTATCTAAACCTGTTAGATAAGTCAACTGGCCATCCTACAAACCCTATCTAAACCTGTTAGATAAGTCAACTGGCCATCCTACAAACCCTATCTAAACCTGTTAGATAAGTCAACTGGCCATCCTACAAACCCTATCTAAACCTGTTAGATAAGTCAACTGGCCATCCTACAAACCCTATCTAAACCTGTTAGATAAGTCAACTGGCCATCCTACAAACCCTATCTAAACCTGTTAGATAAGTCAACTGGCCATGCTACAAACCCTATCTAAACCTGTTAGATAAGTCAACTGGCCATCCTACAAACCCTATCTAAACCTGTTAGATAAGTCAACTGGCCATGCTACAAACCCTATCTAAACCTGTTAGATAAGTCAACTGGCCATCCTACAAACCCTATCTAAACCTGTTAGATAAGTCAACTGGCCATCCTACAACCCTATCTAAACCTGTTAGATAAGTCAACTGGCCATGCTACAAACCCTATCTAAACCTGTTAGATAAGTCAACTGGCCATCCTACAAACCCTATCTCAACCTGTTAGATAAGTCAACTGGCCATCCTACAAACCCTATCTAAACCTGTTAGATAAGTCAACTGGCCATCCTACAAACCCTATCTCAACCTGTTAGATAAGTCAACTGGCCATCCTACAAACCCTATCTAAACCTGTTAGATAAGTCAACTGGCAATCCTACAAACCCTATCTAAACCTGTTAGATAAGTCAACTGGCCATCCTACAAACCCTATCTAAACCTGTTAGATAAGTCAACTGGCCATCCTACAAACCCTATCTAAACCTGTTAGATAAGTCAACTGGCCATCCTACAAACCCTATCTAAACCTGTTAGATAAGTCAACTGGCCATCCTACAAACCCTATCTAAACCTGTTAGATAAGTCAACTGGCCATCCTACAAACCCTATCTAAACCTGTTAGATAAGTCAACTGGCCATCCTACAAACCCTATCTAAACCTGTTGAGTCAACTGGCCATCCTACAAACCCTATCTAAACCTGTTAGATAAGTCAACTGGCCATCCTACAAACCCTATCTAAACCTGTTAGATAAGTCAACTGGCCATCCTACAAACCCTATCTAAACCTGTTAGATAAGTCAACTGGCCATCCTACAAACCCTATCTAAACCTGTTAGATAAGTCAACTGGCCGTCCTACAAACCCTATCTAAACCTGTTAGATAAGTCAACTGGCCATCCTACAAACCCTATCTAAACCTGTTAGATAAGTCAACTGGCCATCCTACAAACCCTATCTAAACCTGTTAGATAAGTCAACTGGCCATCCTACAAACCCTATCTAAACCTGTTAGATAAGTCAACTGGCCATCCTACAAACCCTATCTAAACCTGTTAGATAAGTCAACTGGCCATCCTACAAACCCTATCTAAACCTGTTAGATAAGTCAACTGGCCATCCTACAAACCCTATCTAAACCTGTTAGATAAGTCAACTGGCCATCCTACAAACCCTATCTAAACCTGTTAGATAAGTCAACTGGCCATCCTACAACCCTATCTAAACCTGTTAGATAAGTCAACTGGCCATGCTACAAACCCTATCTAAACCTGTTAGATAAGTCAACTGGCCATCCTACAAACCCTATCTCAACCTGTTAGATAAGTCAACTGGCCATCCTACAAACCCTATCTAAACCTGTTAGATAAGTCAACTGGCCATCCTACAAACCCTATCTCAACCTGTTAGATAAGTCAACTGGCCGTCCTACAAACCCTATCTAAACCTGTTAGATAAGTCAACTGGCAATCCTACAAACCCTATCTAAACCTGTTAGATAAGTCAACTGGCCATCCTACAAACCCTATCTAAACCTGTTAGATAAGTCAACTGGCCATCCTACAAACCCTATCTAAACCTGTTAGATAAGTCAACTGGCCATCCTACAAACCCTATCTAAACCTGTTAGATAAGTCAACTGGCCATCCTACAAACCCTATCTAAACCTGTTAGATAAGTCAACTGGCCATCCTACAAACCCTATCTAAACCTGTTAGATAAGTCAACTGGCCATCCTACAAACCCTATCTAAACCTGTTGAGTCAACTGGCCATCCTACAAACCCTATCTAAACCTGTTAGATAAGTCAACTGGCCATCCTACAAACCCTATCTAAACCTGTTAGATAAGTCAACTGGCCATCCTACAAACCCTATCTAAACCTGTTAGATAAGTCAACTGGCCATCCTACAAACCCTATCTAAACCTGTTAGATAAGTCAACTGGCCGTCCTACAAACCCTATCTAAACCTGTTAGATAAGTCAACTGGCCGTCCTACAAACCCTATCTAAACCTGTTAGATAAGTCAACTGGCCATCCTACAAACCCTATCTAAACCTGTTAGATAAGTCAACTGGCCATCCTACAAACCCTATCTAAACCTGTTAGATAAGTCAACTGGCCATCCTACAAACCCTATCTAAACCTGTTAGATAAGTCAACTGGCCATCCTACAAACCCTATCTAAACCTGTTAGATAAGTCAACTGGCCATCCTACAAACCCTATCTAAACCTGTTAGATAAGTCAACTGGCCATCCTACAACCCTATCTAAACCTGTTAGATAAGTCAACTGGCCATCCTACAAACCCTATCTAAACCTGTTAGATAAGTCAACTGATGATGAAATCAGTGGCCTGACAAAACTGAGGATGCTTACTGTGTGCCTCTTCCTGGACTTGAGATCCACTATTAGAGCCTGGTACTTGTCAGGGAAATGTTTGAGAACCACTCCACTCTGGGTTTCAATGGACGTACAGTTGTAGTCTACAAGGGTTCCAGTGGTCAGCACCTGGACACAAAAACACATTAGACAAGTCTTTAGACAAATTTTTTAATTTCTATTTTCCACACATCTGTACAATGATTCCCCTCATATGATATCAGTACAGCACACAAATACAACACTTTCTCAAGGCCACCAGTAAAAAGTGTGTACGTACCTCAGGAAAACCAGCAATGACAAACATAGGAAATATGTAGGAGATGTGGACACCCTGTGGGACAGAAAGGTTACAGTTTTTATGTAATCAGCAGGGGTCATCTTTATGTAGTCAGTGGTGGAATCTTTCTTCTTTCTTCTTCGTTCTTAATTATTAGTGTTGAAGGGGATCAAGATTTATCTGGCAGTGGGTTTGAACTCGAGACTTTTTGTTCAAATTTATCAACCATGAGCTTTTTGCCGACTTGACCACGCCTCCAACACAATTAAGCGTTACGTGTCAACTGGTTTTGCGCCAGTGACGCAATTGTGATTTCAGCCTGCTCTTCTTTTTGGATTTGCTTCCATAGCTTTTGTCCAACCAAGAACAAACTACAAGGCAGCAGTTGTTTAATTTTGGAGTTGTCTCTCCTAGAAGAGTGGCTGTCCCCAGCTAACGAGCCTCATCTGCCCGTGGGTTCGAACTCGAAACTTTTCGGTTTAGCAACCATGAGCTTTACCGACTCGACCACGCCGACCCCTGTGGTGGAATCATCTTTATATAATTAGTAGTGGAATCATCTTTATGTAATTAGTAGTGGGATCATCTTTATGTGATTAGTGGTGTAGTATAGTCATCTTCATGTGGTCATATGTAATCAGTGGAATAGTCATCTGTATGTGATTAGTGGTATCTTAGATCATTAGTGAACACTTACATGTTTTAAGTTCTGTACACACTGGGCAATGTGCTGCTGTATGACAGACTTGGTGAACACTTACATGTTTTAAGTTCTGAACACACTGGGCGATATGTTGCTGTATACAGACTTGGTGAACACTTACATGCTTTAAGTTCTGAACACACTGGGCAATGTGTTGCTGTATGACAGACTTGGTGAACACTTACATGTTTTAAGTTCTGTACACACTGGGCGATGTGCTGCTGTATGACAGACTTGGTGAACACTTACATGTTTTAAGTTCTGTACACACTGGGCAATGTGCTGCTGTATGACAGACTTGGTGAACACTTACATGTTTTAAGTTCTGTACACACTGGGCGATGTGCTGCTGTATGACAGACTTGGTGAACACTTACATGTTTTAAGTTCTGTACACACTGGGCGATGTGCTGCTGTATGACAGACTTGGTGAACACTTACATGTTTTAAGTTCTGTACACACTGGGCGATGTGCTGCTGTATGACAGACTTGGTGAACACTTACATGTTTTAAGTTCTGTACACACTGGGCAATGTGCTGCTGTATGACAGACTTCCAATGTGGCGTGTTGAACAACATCTCCAGCATCCTGGCCACTGAACACGCCCACTCTAAGCCACTCCTACATTTTGGATCAAAATATCAGATAAACAAAACCCACAAAATGTATCGGATTTTATACGGCCAAGTTAAATATAAAAAAAAATTATTTACTTAGTTCTAATGCACATTTTTATTTCAATTACAGCCTTAAACTACATTATAAGTGTATGTAAGAATCAGTATTGAATGTCTAGTTGTACATCTTTTAATTCTCAAATGTTCAGACAAAAAAGAAAGCAAAAACCAACTTTTCAAAAGCCTTAGTTCCAATGTTGAAAAGATGAGCAACAGTCTGCTGGCCAGGGTAGGCCAGCTTGTAGGCTGTGTTAGGTCCTACAAGTTTCTGGGTGGATGAGTCAGCCATCTGGGATATACAAGTCTGTTTTAAACACGTAGCCAGGAACTCTAGCACTGAGATGGGGGGGGGGGGGGCTAGTTGCTACAGGGCTGCAGGCCATAGGGGTCAATGACAAATTTTTTGAAAAAAAAAAGGGGGGGGGGTTGATGAAGTAAGTGGTTGAAGGGGGTCAGAGGTAGTCTGACTCACTGGGGTCTGGTTGATGTCTTTTATCAAGAAAACATTTCCCCAGACTCTACAGCCCTTGTGCAACCTGCTCTGTAATATTCTTGTCACACAAATGTTTAATGCTTCTAACTTTTTCAATAAACATACCTGTAGCTGCCTCTCTATGAGAACTGAGACTATACATTAGGATCACAGTTCATTAGCTGAGGGGTCAGAGTTCATTAGCTGAGGGGTCAGAGTTCATTAGCTGAGGGGTCAGAGTTCATTAGCTGAGGGGTCAGAGTTCATTAGCTGAGGGGTCAGAGTTCATTAACTGAGACTATACCTTAGGGTCACAGTTCATTAGCTGAGACTATACCTTAGGGTCACAGTTCATTAACTAAGACTATACCTTAGGGTCACAGTTCATTAACTAAGACTATACCTTAGGGTCACAGTTCATTAGCTGAGACTATACCTTAGGGTCACAGATCATTAGTTGAGACTATACCTTAGGGTCACAGATCATTAGTTGAGACTATACCTTAGGGTCACAGTTCATTAACTAAGACTATACCTTAGGGTCACAGTTCATTAACTAAGACTATACCTTAGGGTCACAGTTCATTAGTTGAGACTATACCTTAGGGTCACAGATCATTAGTTGAGACTATACCTTAGGGTCACAGTTCATTAGCTGAGACAATACCTTAGGGTCACAGATCATTAGTTGAGACTATACCTTAGGGTCACAGTTCATTAGCTGAGACAATACCTTAGGGTCACAGATCATTAGCTGAGACAATACCTTAGGGTCACAGTTCATTAGCTGAGGGGTCAGAGTTCATTAACTAAGACTATACCTTAGGGTCACAGTTCATTAGCTGAGACAATACCTTAGGGTCACAGTTCATTAGCTGAGGGGTCAGAGTTCATTAACTAAGACTATACCTTTGGGTCACAGTTCATTAGCTGAGGGGTCAGAGTTCATTAGCTAAGACTATACCTTAGGGTCACAGTTCATAAGCAGCCTTCCCATCAGCCTCAGGGCCAGGTGTTTTGTGTTCAGTTCATGGCCTTGAACTCCCCTGTAAATAGATCAGTCAGGAAACATGAACATGCAAGTCTACACACCACACTCAATCAACACTGAGACAAATCTGACAGTTCTATAGTGAACTTACCTAGCAACCTCCAGTAACTGACTGAGGAAATCTTCTGTCCAGAAGTTAAAGCCAGCATCAGTCACATTGTCCTAGAAAAAGTAGTAAGTTGTTTAGACTTATATGTGTTATGGCAAATATGCTACATTTATAGCAGGTAGGAGGCAAAATTAGAATGTGAAAATTCACACTATTTAATTAATATACACAAACATGATTTTAGAAACTAGCTTCTTACCCTAGGTTCATGGTGAGGCATGACTGCTCCTAACAATCCCATAATCCTCTCCTGGGAGTGTATAGCAAATGTTTGCTCTCTCCGTTTTTCAAGGGGCATTTCTTTCATGGCTTCAACTAAAGAAAATATTAAATTACAGATATTTGATAGTGGATGCTAAATGTTGGTGGAGCTTAACTGCTGATAGTTTCTATATCATCTAAACAGTTGATTTTTGTACTAGCTAAATGGATGGTGATTTGAAAAACAATGGTATAAAAAAAATACTCTTTGAACTACCTCCCCCCCCCCCCCCATCTATAACAAGGGACAGAACTCCCCCACCCCAATCTATAACAAGGGACAGAACTCCCCCACCCCATCTATAAAGGGACAGAACTCCCCTACCCCCATCTATAACAAGGGACAGAACTGACCTTCCCCCTCTGCTATGACGTGGTTCAGGCATGCGGTGGCCTGCATGATACACTGTTGCTGCCCCCCCCCCCCCATCTATAACAAGTGACAGAACTCCCCTTCCCCCATCTATAACAAGGGACAGAACTCCCCCACCCCATCTATAAAGGGACAGAACTCCCCTACCCCCATCTATAACAAGGGACAGAACTGACCTTCCCCCTCTGCTATGACGTGGTTCAGGCATGCGGTGGCCTGCATGATACACTGTTGCTGCCCCCCCCCCCCCCCATCTATAACAAGTGACAGAACTCCCCTTCCCCCATCTATAACAAGGGACAGAACTCCCCTTCCCCCATCTATAACAAGGGACAGAACTCCCCTTCCCCCATCTATAACAAGGGACAGAACTGACCTTCCCCCATCTATAACAAGGGACACAACTGACCTTCCCCCTCTGCTATGACATGGTTCAGGCATGCTGTGGCCTGCATGATACACTGTTGCTGCAGCTCCCCTGCTATCCTCATGTAGTCCAGGTCTATGAAGACGTTGTCCACCCCGTAGACAATGTCGCTGAGGGTGAGGGTCAGCGAGGTGTACAGCAGCCAGACATGCTGGTGGATGTAGGCCTTGAGGGATGAGTTACTGGACTGACTTGTCTTCACTGGCAGCAGGATCACAGATGGTTAATACAGGGGTCAAAGGTCAGTCAAGGGAAGAAGGTCAAAGGTCAGTCAAGGGAAGAAGGTCAAAGGTCAGTCAAGGGAAGAAGGTCAAAGGTCAGTCAAGGGAAGAAGGTCAAAGGTCAGTCAAAGGTCAGTCAAGGGAAGTAATCAGCCAAAAAAAGAATCCTTGTCATTAACATCTAAGCAAAACACCCTAAATTATATTTTAATAGTAAAAAAGAAGCCTTTTTTAAATTTTGCTTTATAATTTTAAAGTTGTGTTGAAGGACAGCATAGTTAGAAGAAATTTAATTGTTTAACACTCTCAGAATGTGAAATATTATACTTACATTTGACCATGGGGATGCTAACAAATTCATGCTCTACTGTGTGTCTAAAAATTTAAAGAATGTAAGGTCAAAGCTAAATATACATTACTTTAAAAAAAAAATTCAGTTGATTTCCATATTTTATCAATAAGTTAATAAAACAAAGGGGTAGGCCACAGAATAGTTTGTACTACAATAGATCAAAACAAATGTTGCTTGTAAAAATAAAGAAACAGTTTATTAAAAAAAATGGGAAGAGTCTTGAAAGATTTAGTGAAGTGAGCCACGATGACCTACCCTGGGGGGAAAAGTTTCTTGACGTGACAACCCAGACAAAGGTCAAAGTCATCACACTGGTTGCAGTGGATTCTGGTCCCAACTATAAACGCCTGGCAGTGGTTACACTTGAACCTGGAGGAACACAGAGCTATCAGTGACACAGTTCTATCAGTGACACAGTTCTATCAGTGACACAGTTCTATCAGTGACACAGTTCTATCAGTGACACAGTTCTATCAGTGACACAGTTCTATCAGTAACACAGTTCTATGAGTGACACAGTTCTATCAGTAACACAGTTCTATCAGTAACACAGTTCTATCAGTGACACAGTTCTATCAGTAACACAGTTCTATCAGTAACACAGTTCTATCAGTGGACAATGTCAAGACTTACACAAGGTGGACAAAGTCATGTCAAGACTTACACAAGGTGGACAAAGTCATGTCAAGACTTACACAAGGTGGACAATGTCGTGGTTGTCTCGGTGGTCCTCCGGCTCCACCCCACCAGAGAAACATGTGGTACACAGGTCCATGTCCATACACTGCAGGCACCTGTACCTGCGGCCAGGCAAGGTCACACCACACCCATCACAGCTGATCTCCACATCCAGGACGTCAGAGAATCTAGCCACAAACATTTTCACCACCTGATGACAACAATTATATTATCATTTTTTGTTATGTAACCATACTGTAGCTAGATCATGAACGAAAACATTTTCACCACCTGATGACAACAATTGTATTATCATCTTTTGTTATGTAACCATACTGTAGCTAGATCATGAACGAAAACATTTTCACCACCTGATGACAACAATTATATTATCATTTTTTGTTATGTAACCATACTGTAGCTAGATCATGAACGAAAACATTTTCACCACCTGATGACAACAATTATATTATCATTTTTTGTTATGTAACCATACTGTAGCTAGATCATGAACGAAAACATTTTCACCACCTGATGACAACAATTATATTATCATTTTTTGTTATGTAACCATACTGTAGCTATATCATGAACGAAAACATTTTCACCACCTGATGACAACAATTATATTATCATTTTTTGTTATGTAACCATACTGTAGCTAGATCATGAACGAAAACATTTTCACCACCTGATGACAACAATTGTATTATCATCTTTTGTCCAACTTTTGTTATGTAACCATACTGTAGCTAGATCATGAACAAAAACATTTTACCAGTTTACCTGGGCATATAAGGAGATAACATGGTCGGTGCAGTACATAGTAATAATTATCCAATTCAAACTAGGTACTGATTAGGGCTGAGTTCGCTCAGGGACAAAACCCCATGACACAAATCACTCAGTGTAATATATTCTAGGTTTCAATAGTTTTGACAATAAATTAAACAGATTAACAAAAATATGTGTTAAAAATTTATATTAAAAAAAGAAAAAGAAATGGATTTTCAAGGAGTGAGAAAAGGTACAGCTTACTATTTTTACCCTAAGACAAAATGTAAAGGTCAGAGGTCAAGAAAGTGTGCTCACCTTCTTATCATCCTTGCTGGACTCCTTCTGCCTGAACCACTCGTTGATGTCCGAGCGGTTGATCTCCTCGTACCACTTCATGGAGAGCTCGTAGTCCTCCATCTCCTTCTCCTCGTCCCTCTCCGTGGCCACCAGGTCCCTCATCTTGACCGTGTCTGTTGGTAATGAGACAGAGCACTCTATTGGTCAACACAGGGTAGGAATATGTGCTTGTTTAGAAGTGTATGGCCTACTGGGGTTATTCAAACCCGGGTTGGTTTGCCAAACCCATATGGGTTAGCTAAACCAATGTGGGTTATCTAAACCCCAGTAGGGATGGTTAGTTTGAGGAAAAAAAAGGTCTACTATCTCATCAATAATTGAAAGGCTATATGTTGGTCATGTTGATATTAGACCCTGATGACCTCTACATGCTCACAGCCTTTGCGCTTCTTTTACATTTACTAAACCATCATGTTTTATTATACCATCATGTTTTATTAAACCATCATGTTTTATTATACCATCATGTTTTATTAAACCATCATGTTTTATTAAACCATCATGTTTTATTAAACCATCATGTTTTACTAAACCATCATGTTTTATTAAACCATCATGTTTTATTAAACCATCATGTTTTATTAAACCATCATGTTTTATTAAACCATCATGTTTTATTAAACCATCATGTTTTATTAAACCATCATGTTTTATTAAACCATCATGTTTTATTAAACCATCATGTTTTATTAAACCATCATGTTTTATTAAACCATGTTTTATTAAACCATCATGTTTTATTAAACCATCATGTTTTACTAAATAATGTTTTATTAAACCATCATGTTTTATTAAATCATCATGTTTTATTAAACTGTCATGCATCAAAATGTTTTATTAAATTATTACATAAATAAGTGGGCAGTACATCAATGCATTACTTATTATCCTATTTTATTTATTTTACCTCAATAAATCACATATTATATATTTTTCAATTTTATTTTTTTAATCTTTAATCATAAATCTTAGGTTTACACACTAGAGAATTTTTTCCCTTTCCAGTAGTATTTATTTTTTTGCAATACTTTTTAAAACACTCCCAGCTGTACAAAAGGTGAGTGCTATGTATAACGGTGAATGAATTGGGAAAGAAAATGAAACGAACCTTTGGCAATGTTTAGGAAGAGCTGGGGCAGCTGAAGCTCTTTAACAAAAGACAAGTCATACGGCTGTGGATGAGATACAAACATTCATGGATTATTGACATGGATACACCGCAGGTCTCTGCAACAAATGAACTGTACTTCATCTGCCCCATGTGTCTTGGGCACAAACAGGAATAGATGATGATCTAAACCTTGCTATCACAGAGTGCTTGAAGTCAATGTGTCAACATAATGTAGAAACAGACAGTTATATGGGGTTTGTGCTGGCTAAACTTTCAGTCATGCATGTTAATAGTGAGTACACAAAGAGAACAACACTGTACTGACCTGCCAATCGACATCCAACAGGTGCAGTAAACAGCACTGTAGGAAATCATAAGCTGGCATCACTTTACTGCAAACAGAAAACAATGAGTACATTTTCTATTATAAAAACAAGTTGCTTAAAAAATTTTAAGTGTTTTGAAATTTAAGTCTTAACACTTGATTAAAAAAAGTGTTTGTTCTTGTGCCCAGACAACAGGCACATTTTCCAGCAACTATATTTGGTCTATACCTATATTGAGCCAACACAAACATCAGGCCAACACCCACATAATGACAACACCAACATTAGACATAAGACATTAGACTTAAGTCCCAATATGTACCCAACCAAGTCCCCCCCCCCCTTACTTGTCCTGCTGGAGCTCCTGGAACTGTTGGAATGCCTCCACAAACTTGCGGACCAGGGTGTAGTAGGCCATCCTGACTTTAGTCTCCTGCTCCAGCCCACAGCCATCAAGTCCGTCTGCGTAATGCTTGGCAAATTTGTCTTGGTAGGAAAACATCTCACGGAAAAACAAGATGACAGGAATCTGAAACAATACAAAAGTGGTCTAACATAGAAAAATCAGGGTTTCTTGCAAAATTTAATTTCATTTTTTAAAAGCCAGGTATTTATTTTTTAACTAACTTTTATGTAAAAGCACTTTAAATCTTAGATTAAAAATAATTTAAAAAATAATTTGTTAATGTTAATGTTATGCAGAACAGGGCTGCTGAGATGGAGTCATGTCAGTGGACATACTTGTATAGGTTGTGCAAATCTGATTTGTAAAGAACTTTGCTGAAATCTATATTTAAACCTCTCCTATGGTGAGGTTAGGTTGGAGTAACTGACAAACCTGAAATGGGTCGATGTTGGACAAAATTCTGAGTATTTCAGCAGCAAACATGTAAACATCACTAACAGCTGAGGCAAATCTGGTTCTTTCTTGTAGCATGAGGTGAACCCTAGGGAACAAAGGGACAGCACTCTAATCAATTGTACAAAAAAACTCAAGTTCTCCCAGATTGGCACCATTCCATAAACCTGAGTCCATCATGCTAGAAAAATTAGTAGAGCTCTGTCTCAGTCTAATCACTGATAAATTAATGCTTGACTATTTCCCACAGCATCCTAGTCAGAGGGATGGCATGGCCTAGCAGTAGAGCATGAGACTGTTACCTCTAGAGTCTCGAGTTTGAATTCCGGTTCAAGTCCGTACACCATCCCCAGAGTCTACCCAGCTCTGTTGGGTACCTAACTCACGTTAAAAAGGAAGGTGGCTGGGCATAAGGCTGACCACACTATCCCTTCACAAGCCAAGGCCACAGAAACAGGTAAACTCTACTTCACTTACCCCAAGGACTGTCAGGTTCAAAAAGGGGAACTTTATTTTTACTTAACCCCAGTCAGATCCCTTTTTGTCAATGCTTCACTAAGTTTTGTTTCAGTTTACTTAAGATTCCATGTTTTTACCTTTCAGCTGTCCAGGCATGGTCTTGTAAAAACTCCATCACTAGTCTGAAGGATGGAAACTTCTCCAAAATTTCATTCTAAACACAAACATTTTAATAATTACATCCAAATACATCAGGAAAAAATTTTGAAAAACAAAATTAAATAATGGTTTAGGTGTTGTTTAAAAATTATACCTGTTATTTTAAATTGAAACAAAACAAGTCAGGGAAAATACATTATATTTTTTAAAATATCTAATGGAACAATATTTTATTTTTAGTATCAAAACTATTTTTATTTGAAAACCACTTACTCTTACAAATGGACGCTTATTTCCAGCTTTTTTCATGGACAACTGTTTGTGATATTTAGTTCGCATCTGTGGAAATAGTTCATTCTTAACCACTCATCCCTAATTTTTATAATTCATTGTTCTGCAAATATGTTGCTAAAGATAAAAATAAATTATGTATTCAACATTATTCTGATTTTTCGCTTTAGAAATACCTCATTTTTAAGTTGAACTTTAGTCAGGCCAGCAAACTTGAGTAGATAGAGGGCCTTGGAGACAAATACATCAGCTGTGGTAGAGAGATAGAAAAGGCTTATTACAAAAGACACATACACATCCAATAGTGAAAATAACATGTAGGCCTATACTAATAATGTCCCAATGTAGAGAGTTGAAAATGAAACTTACATACACTCTTAAATAATTAAAAACAAATATTTACATTTAAAAAGCTCAATTGCTTGTGTCAACACGATAAGAAAAATGTAATTAACCCTTAACTCCTCAGGTTTACACAGGTTTACCTGAGCCTGAAGGTTAACAGAGCTGACACAACAACTTACCTGGGTCATCACTGTCACCTTTATTTTCCTGGGCATTCCATTTCTGTCTATCAAGTGCCTACAGAGAGAAGAGGACATGTTCACTGACTAGCAGGCAGATCACAGGAATACAGTAATCAAAACAACTAGATGTTGCAGTCTAGGGAACTAAGGCCTAATCTCAGGGCCATGAGTACATGTAATATAATAACTTCAATCAACTCTTACCAAACCTGTCCTCATTGATTCTGCTGTTATATAAGCCTGGCTGATTCCCTCGGTTATCTCCCCTTGGTCACCATTGTTCACTAAAAATATTTAAAAATATTAGAAAATTTTATCTTGTTCAAACTAAAAATATCTTAATGATAAATTTATAAAGTGACATTAACAAATGTATCACTGTTTTCTCCTGGTCTGTCACATCTCATAGAAAGTTTCACTATTAGTGTTGCACTGTACAATCACAGAACCAGCTATCACAATTATGTAGACATTTATTGTTGTAAAAGTAGGCACACTTACACACATGCATAAGCCCACTGCACACACAAACACAAATACTCTCACACATACATACACAAAAACTTACAAAATTTCTCAGTGTCTTCTCTCAACTGTTGGCAGTGCCAGATAAGAGCAGCCAACAGGGCAGCAATGGCACTGTCCACCTTGCTGCCCCCAACTGTCATGCCAATCTTAGCTTTGTTTATTTCCTGGCACCTGAAGTTGAAAGGGGGAAAAATTAGTAAAAGAAAGAAATATCGACTTGATTTCTAAAACACAAAAAAAAATTTTAATATGTAATATAACCAAAAACCTTCTCCAACAAAAGGTTATAAAAGTTAATTACAAAAAAAAATATTTTTTAAACAAATTTGGACTAACTTTGAAAGAAATCTGGCAGCTTGTTTACCAAAGCCTTCTTCCACTCCACTAGCTGGTTGCCCTTTTGTCTCTGCTGCAGCCACCAAATTTAGAAGAAAATTACACACCTTGTTATGTTCATTGGCTGCCTGAAACAAAAAATATTTTCTTTGTTTTATTCAGAAACATTATTTTGAAAAACTGATTATTTATTGCTGGGAATAGAAACCTAAGCTGTCCTTTACACTGAGATTTTTGTTTCAGAAAGTAGGCCCTACGGTAAAACAACTAATAGATTAGTAAAAGTTGTATAATCTGTCCTAAAGAGAAAAAATCATTGAAATCTCAGATCACAGAAATAATGTATTGTATTCAAAGGACGTACCTACCCCTAAGCCCCACATTCTATAAGAATGAGCTTTAGATTAAGTTTATTAAGTGAAAAGCATAAATTACATACAAATTTTCCTGAGAGTGAGCGCTGAAGTTTCCCAACACAGTAGCCTCCCCTGAACAAAGATGTCCACAGATCACTGCGCAGAATATCCAGCTCTGATGTGTCGGAGTTGAGGGGGTTCTCGTGTGGTAGTACTGGAGGAAAGATTAAATCATTCTCACACAGTCCCAGTTTGGTGTGGGGGGGGGGGGAGGAAGGGGGTTCATGTGGCGTGTGGTTATGTGTGTTTCAGCTCTGATGTGTCAGAGTTGAGGGGGTTCTCATGTGGTAGTACTGGTGGAGAGATTAAATCATTCTCACACTATCCTAGTGTGTGTGTGTGGGGGGGGGGGGGGGGGTTAATGTGGGGTGTGGTGTGGTGTGTGTGTGTGGGGGGGGGGGGTTAATGTGGGGTGTGGTGTGGTGTGTGTGTGGGGGGGGGGGGTTAATGTGGGGTGGGGTGTGAATGTGCCAGCTCTGATGTGTCGGAGTTGAGGGGGTTCTCATGTGGTAGTACTGGTGGAGAGATTAAATCATTCTCACACAATACTAGTGTGCTGTGTGTGGGGGTGTGGTTAAGTGTGGGGTGTGGTTGTGTTCCAGCTGTAATACTGATAGAAGACACCATTCTCATACAATCTTGGTGTGAGTGGGTGGGGGTGTATTAATGTGTGTTGTGGTTGTATTCCAGCTGTATTATTGGTAAAATAAACCATTCTGGAACAATCTTGGTAGTTGTAAGGATGTCAAAAGCTCAGCAGATTACAGTTTACATATGTGGTTACATGGATTAACTTAGAGCCAGGTTATGATTAGGTTAAAGATTACACAGGTGTAAAGCTCACTTGGATTAGAACTTAAAGTTGATCCAGCCAGCTGACCTAAGACCTTAATGAGACCTAACTGCAGGTCAGTAAGCCATGAGTTCTGGATGTCTGGGGTACCAATGGCTGTAACCTGCAGAGTTACAACAAGTGCAGAGTGAACATGGGAACTTACAAAATGGGAGGTAACAACATGACAAATTATGACAAGGGAGGCTACAACAGGGGAGGTTACAACATGAGAAGTTATGACAAGGGAGGTTACAACAAGGGAAGTAAAAATTTAAAATCCCTGTTTTTAAAAACAGTTTAACTAGATATTTTTTTAAATAATGTTGTTAAGTTTATTATTCAAAAATTAAAATAAAAAATAATTGTCAAAAGAAAGAACTAAATTTATTTGAATAAGATATGAACTAAGCACAAGAGCTTACAGTAAACTTGTAGCCCCACTCAGTGTTGCTGCTGTCACTATGAAACAAGAAGCCAACATACGGGCCACTGAAGGTGACTTTTTTGGGCCACTTGGTGGAGCCAACCTTCTGGTCAAACCTAAGTTTCAAACCCTTGGCGTCTGTAAACTCCAGGTAATCATACCTGTAGAAACACAATAATCAACAGTTACAGGATAAAATCTGGGCAATCATACCTGTTGAAAACAGCAGCATTGAACTGTTATAGGTAAAAAAAAAATGTAATTATTATCAGTTGTGTTGCTGTGTAAAGTTAGGCATCAGTTTTAAATACTCCTCAAATAAAACTCCGACCTGAAAACCAAGAAAGACAATGACATTTATATGGCACTAACCTTCTTTCTGTCTCACATCGGGGATCAAATTCAACCACTAATTTTGAGGCACCAGGACAATGAAATGTCTACAAGTAAAAAAAATTACGTGGGTACATGTTGAATATTCGCTAACATTGGAAATTAATATTTTGTATATTACAAATCTGCATTTTTATTTAAAATACATAAAAGCTGCGATAACCAAAACTATGAAATTTGGGGGGGGGGGGGGGTCACAATAATTGTTTAACACAAAACCTCTCTAGCTGTTCTGTATTAATTAAAAAAATCTACCTGTACAATATTTGAATGGTTGAGATAGTCGTGAGGGGACTCCACCTCCCATGTTCTCAACACAGTTTCTTCAGTATCCACTTCCTTCCAGCAGTCAGAGGAAATCTAGAGAATACAAGTTTCAAATGTTAGATGACTGAAGGCTAGACTAACTGACAAAACACTGACAGAGGGAATCAGTTTCAAATATTAGATAACAATGCTGACAAAACACTGACAGATAAAAAAAAGTCTAAACAAATACAAGTTTAAAATATTAGATGACAATATGGCAGACTGTTTCAAATATACAAATAAATAAGGCTGAATGATGGTTTCACTCAGTTAATACAAGAAGCCTCAAGATAGAATAGTCTATTCCTATAGGGAAAATAGGTTAAGAAGTCAAAGAAATGGCACAGTCATTTCTGAATGGAGGGCCAGAAAAAGAAAAATTGTAAAAACAATTATGCTGGGGGTTTTTTTTACGATAAAAAAATTTTTTGGTCGATTTATTCGAGCAATAGTTCTTTCCTCATCACATTTTTAGCAACATTTAAAACACTGCTGCACAAGAAAATCTTACATCACAGAAGAGTTCTGGGTTGGCCCTAGCTATGTCACTGACAGCTACAGCAAGTTTCTTGAAGTTTTCAAGAATTTTCACTTTGGTTTGGGTATTTAGCTTGTCCACAAGTGTTGTCAGTAGCAACATCTGAAAGCAAATACTAGATTTGTTGCATGGTTCTATAGCCACTCACATGAACATGTTACCAACAATATTGTTCAATGAAATACAATTCTTGCAAAGCTGCCTATCAATGTTAAGACAAAATTGCTGATATTTTTTATTTAGGCCATCAACAAAACAGACAATTTTTGTGGATGTATAGAAAAAACAAACTAAAGGATTCTAAAAATAAACAAAGCTTACGAGCTGGCGTAAAATAATGGACAGAAAAAATGGCTGCTCTGCATCTGTCTTTAATTTCTGTGAAGTAAACAATTGAGAACACTATCATTAAGATGCACTAATGCAAATTTCACAAGATACTGAAGTGGTTTCCTTTAGACTGATCAAATATTCAAACAACTGACCCTCTAGAAAAATGTTACACTTACCAATTGCTCAGCTGTGAGTACCTTGAAGACATCAAAAAATTCTATGGCTTTCTCTGCAACATTGCATGTATCTGAAAAATTCCATCAATTAAAAGTCTTTAACATGTCATGAAATCCTAACAATTTTCCCACACTAAATCTTTGTTTAAAAAATTACAATATTAAATTTCACCTTGAAGCTGTATAATTATTTTTAGACATTTGATCTTAGAATATTTGCTAAATGAGTTTTAGAGCATACATTTACATAGTACTTACTGTAAAAAAAAATATTATTTATTCTCAATAAAAACTTCTATGTCAAATTTAATACAACATAAGGTTACTTTCCACAACATTAGATCTTTAAAACAGAATTTCAGCATATTTCTCTTTCTAAATCTAACCAAAATTATACTTTAACTGAAAATTATACTAGTCAAAGTTTAATTTCTAAATCTAAGTTAACTCACAATTTTTGACAATGTCATTAATGAGGATGACGAACTTCTCATTCTCTAGAGTACTCTTGGTGTCTAGCTGTTGCCAGCACCACATCAACAGTGAGGTCTGCAGGGATGCTGTCAGCCTCACCAAATAGGTCATCTGATGGCCATTTTCTGCCTTCTCACCAGCAGAGGTTGCTGTCTTCAAATGTCCAGCCACGTCGTCGCTGGAGCTGGGGTTGCTATCAAACAGAGCCATATTCCCCTTGATGGAGTTGCCGATGTCGGCCAGGCTCTCTCTGGCTTGTTTGAAGAGTTCATTGGCCCGTTCAGCGGACTGCTGGATCTGCTGGAAGGTGGCCTTGGCCTCCAGCTCAGAGTCTTTGATGTCGTTCAGGATATCCTGGACCTCCTTGGCTGAAACATTGATGTTCTGTAAGGCCTCTTCCAGCTTGGTGGACGGGGACTTGGCATTCTCATCTGAAGCTCTGGCTTCTGCTCTTGGAGTTTCAATAATGGGAGGTTTGGACACTGCTGTGGCACCCTGTTCTACCTCATCAGATTTTTGTACAACATCAGATTGCTGTAAACCAGCAGATTGTTTTACAACATCAGACTGTGGTAGTACAGTTGGACTTTCCACTTCCTGTGCAGGCTCTGGTTCTGCTTGCTTGATATCAGGTACTTCAGGTCCTACTTTTTCTTGTCCTTCAGGACCAGTTAAACTAGGTCCTACTTTCTCAGTGGTCATGTCCTGGATCTCTTGACCTGCCACCATCAGTAAATTTTTCATCATGTCTAATGTGCCAGAAGAAGAAAAGTCCTGCAATCAGAGAAAAGCAATTAGGTTTCTAAATGCAAACAAAAAAAATTCCATTTCTTACGTAATGGTCGATTCAATAACAGATTACAAGAGTTTGTATATGTTTTTTTTACCCGAGCAATTGGGGGGATTGTGTAGGCAGCATTATGCCCAACCAACTTTACTTGGTGGACTAAGTTACCCTTATGGACCAGGCAGTCAATTGTTCAAATGAATTAGTTAATATTTTTCTGTAACCTTGGTGTATAGGGATGGTGTGGTCATTTCACTGCCATTATTGTTAGTCAGGTACCCATCAGAACTGAGTGAACTAATAAACTGCTGACCCAAAAGATAGTGTTATACAGGATGGAGGGTGAAGTTAAGTAGGGGATGGGGTGGTGTTATGTAGGGTTGAAGGTGATGTTATGCAGAGTAGGGGTGGTACAATGTACCTGGGGGTGGGGTGTGTGAGGGGGTACCTGCAGCCTGTTGTTACTTACATCAGTTGGGTTGTTGGGCAGCTCCAGGAGACCCTTGGGGTCAACAGACCTGATGTAGGGTGGGGGTGGGGTGGGGTGTGTGAGGGGGTACCTGCAGCCTGTTGTTACTTACATCAGTTGGGTTGTTGGGCAGCTCCAGGAGACCCTTGGGGTCAACAGAGCTGATGTAGGGTGGGGGTGGGGTGTGTGAGGGGGTACCTGCAGCCTGTTGTTACTTACATCAGTTGGGTTGTTGGGCAGCTCCAGGAGACCCTTGGGGTCAACAGAGCTAGGGTGGGGGTGGGGGTGGGGTGTGTGAGGGGGTACCTGCAGCCTGTTGTTACTTACATCAGTTGGGTTGTTGGGCAGCTCCAGGAGACCCTTGGGGTCAACAGAGCTGATGTAGGGTGGGGGTGGGGTGTGTGAGGGGGTACCTGCAGCCTGTTGTTACTTACATCAGTTGGGTTGTTGGGCAGCTCCAGGAGACCCTTGGGGTCAACAGAGCTGATGTAGGGTGGGGGTGGGGTGTGTGAGGGGGTACCTGCAGTCTGTTGTTACTTACATCAGTTGGGTTGTTGGGCAGCTCCAGGAGACCCTTGGGGTCAACAGAGCTGATGTAGGGTGGGGGTGGGGTGTGTGAGGGGGTACCTGCAGCCTGTTGTTACTTACATCAGTTGGGTTGTTGGGCAGCTCCAGGAGACCCTTGGGGTCAACAGAGCTGATGTAGGGTGGGGGTGGGGTGGGGTGTGTGAGGGGGTACCTGCAGCCTGTTGTTACTTACATCAGTTGGGTTGTTGGGCAGCTCCAGGAGACCCTTGGGGTCAACAGAGCTGATGTAGGGTGGGGGTGGGGGTGGGGTGTGTGAGGGGGTACCTGCAGCCTGTTGTTACTTACATCAGTTGGGTTGTTGGGCAGCTCCAGGAGACCCTTGGGGTCAACAGAGCTGGTGTAGGGTGGGGGTGGGGTGGGGTGTGTGAGGGGGTACCTGCAGCCTGGTGTTACTTACATCAGTTGGGTTGTTGGGCAGCTCCAGGAGACCCTTGGGGTCAACAGAGCTGGTGTAGGGTGGGGTGTGTGAGGGGGTACCTGCAACCTGTTGTTACTTACATCAGTTGGGTTGTTGGGCAGCTCCAGGAGACCCTTGGGGTCAACAGAGGTGATGTAGGGTGGGGGTGGGGTGTGTGAGGGGGTCCCTGCAGCCTGTTGTTACTTACATCAGTTGGGTTGTTGGGCAGCTCCAGGAGACCCTTGGGGTCAACAGAGCTGATGTAGGGTGGGGGTGGGGTGGGGTGTGTGAGGGGGTCCCTACAGCCTGTTGTTACTTACATCAGTTGGGTTGTTGGGCAGCTCCAGGAGACCCTTGGGGTCAACAGAGCTAATGTAGGGTGGGGGTGGGGTGTGTGAGGGGGTACCTACAGCCTGTTGTTACTTACATCAGTTGGGTTGTTGGGCAGCTCCAGGAGACCCTTGGGGTCAACAGAGCTGATGTAGGGTGGGGGTGGGGGTGGGGTGGGGTGTGTGAGGGGGTCCCTACAGCCTGTTGTTACTTACATCAGTTGGGTTGTTGGGCAGCTCCAGGAGACCCTTGGGGTCAACAGAGCTGATGTAGGGTGGGGTGTGTGAGGGGGTACCTACAGCCTGTTGTTACTTACATCAGTTGGGTTGTTGGGCAGCTCCAGGAGACCCTTGGGGTCAACAGAGCTGGTGTAGGGTGGGGGTGGGGTGGGGTGTGTGAGGGGGTACCTGCAGCCTGTTGTTACTTACATCAGTTGGGTTGTTGGGCAGCTCCAGGAGACCCTTGGGGTCAACAGAGCTGATGTAGGGTGGGGTGTGTGAGGGGGTACCTGCAGCCTGTTGTTACTTACATCAGTTGGGTTGTTGGGCAGCTCCAGGAGACCCTTGGGGTCAACAGAGCTGATGTAGGGTGGGGTGTGTGAGGGGGTACCTGCAGCCTGTTGTTACTTACATCAGTTGGGTTGTTGGGTAGCTCCAGGAGACCCTTGGGGTCAACAGAGCTGATGTAGGGTGGGGGTGGGGTGTGTGAGGGGGTACCTGCAACCTGTTGTTACTTACATCAGTTGGGTTGTTGGGCAGCTCCAGGAGACCCTTGGGGTCAACAGAGCTGATGTAGGGTGGGGGTGGGGGTGGGGTGGGGTGTGTGAGGGGGTCCCTACAGCCTGTTGTTACTTACATCAGTTGGGTTGTTGGGCAGCTCCAGGAGACCCTTGGGGTCAACAGAGCTGATGTAGGGTGGGGGTGGGGTGTGTGAGGGGGTACCTGCAGCCTGTTGTTACTTACATCAGTTGGGTTGTTGGGCAGCTCCAGGAGACCCTTGGGGTCAACAGAGCTGATGTAGGGTGGGGGTGGGGTGGGGTGTGTGAGGGGGTACCTGCAGACTGTTGTTACTTACATCAGTTGGGTTGTTGGGCAGCTCCAGGAGACCCTTGGGGTCAACAGAGCTGACGTAGGGTGGGGGTGGGGTGTGTGAGGGGGTACCTGCAGCCTGTTGTTACTTACATCAGTTGGGTTGTTGGGCAGGAGACCCTTGGGGTCAACAGAGCTGGTGTAGGGTGGGGGTGGGGTGTGTGAGGGGGTACCTGCAGCCTGTTGTTACTTACATCAGTTGGGTTGTTGGGCAGCTCCAGGAGACCCTTGGGGTCAACAGAGCTGATGTAGGGTGGGGTGTGTGAGGGGGTACCTGCAACCTGTTGTTACTTACATCAGTTGGGTTGTTGGGCAGCTCCAGGAGACCCTTGGGGTCAACAGAGCTGATGTAGGGTGGGGGTGGGGGTGGGGTGTGTGAGGGGGTACCTGCAGCCTGTTGTTACTTACATCAGTTGGGTTGTTGGGCAGCTCCAGGAGACCCTTGGGGTCAACAGAGCTGATGTAGGGTGGGGGTGGGGGGGGTGTGTGAGGGGGTACCTGCAGCCTGTTGTTACTTACATCAGTTGGGTTGTTGGGCAGCTCCAGGAGACCCTTGGGGTCAACAGAGGTGATGTAGGGTGGGGGTGGGGTGTGTGAGGGGGTACCTGCAGCCTGTTGTTACTTACATCAGTTGGGTTGTTGGGCAGCTCCAGGAGACCCTTGGGGTCAACAGAGCTGGTGTAGGGTGGGGTGTGTGAGGGGGTACCTGCAGCCTGTTGTTACTTACATCAGTTGGGTTGTTGGGCAGCTCCAGGAGACCCTTGGGGTCAACAGAGCTGGTGTAGGGTGGGGGTGGGGTGTGTGAGGGGGTACCTGCAGCCTGTTGTTACTTACATCAGTTGGGTTGTTGGGCAGCTCCAGGAGACCCTTGGGGTCAACAGAGCTGATGTAGGGTGGGGTGTGTGAGGGGGTACCTGCAGCCTGTTGTTACTTACATCAGTTGGGTTGTTGGGCAGCTCCAGGAGACCCTTGGGGTCAACAGAGCTGATGTAGGGTGGGGTGTGTGAGGGGGTACCTGCAGCCTGTTGTTACTTACATCAGTTGGGTTGTTGGGCAGCTCCAGGAGACCCTTGGGGTCAACAGAGCTGGTGTAGGGTGGGGGTGGGGTGGGGTGTGTGAGGGGGTACCTGCAGACTGTTGTTACTTACATCAGTTGGGTTGTTGGGCAGCTCCAGGAGACCCTTGGGGTCAACAGAGCTGATGTAGGGTGGGGGTGAGGGTGGGGTGTGTGAGGGGGTACCTGCAGTCTGTTGTTACTTACATCAGTTGGGTTGTTGGGCAGCTCCAGGAGACCCTTGGGGTCAACAGAGCTAATGTAGGGTGGGGGTGGGGTGTGTGAGGGGGTAGCTGCAGCCTGTTGTTACTTACATCAGTTGGGTTGTTGGGCAGCTCCAGGAGACCCTTGGGGTCAACAGAGCTAATGTAGGGTGGGGGTGGGGTGTGTGAGGGGGTACCTGCAGCCTGTTGTTACTTACATCAGTTGGGTTGTTGGGCAGCTCCAGGAGACCCTTGGGGTCAACAGAGCTGATGTAGGGTGGGGGTGGGGGTGGGGGTACCTGCAGCCTGTTGTTACTTACATCAGTTGGGTTGTTGGGCAGCTCCAGGAGACCCTTGGGGTCAACAGACCTGATGTAGGGTGGGGTGTGTGAGGGGGTACCTGCAGCCTGGTGTTACTTACATCAGTTGGGTTGTTGGGCAGCTCCAGGAGACCCTTGGGGTCAACAGAGCTGATGTAGGGTGGGGGTGGGGTGGGGTGTGTGAGGGGGTACCTGCAGACTGTTGTTACTTACATCAGTTGGGTTGTTGGGCAGGAGACCCTTGGGGTCAACAGAGCTAATGTAGGGTGGGGGTGGGGTGGGGTGTGTGAGGGGGTACCTGCAGCCTGTTGTTACTTACATCAGTTGGGTTGTTGGGCAGCTCCAGGAGACCCTTGGGGTCAACAGAGCTGATGTGGGGTGGGGTGGGGTGTGTGAGGGGGTACCTGCAGCCTGTTGTTACTTACATCAGTTGGGTTGTTGGGCAGCTCCAGGAGACCCTTGGGGTCAACAGAGCTGACGTAGGGTGGGGGTGGGGTGGGGTGTGTGAGGGGGTACCTGCAGCCTGGTGTTACTTACATCAGTTGGGTTGTTGGGCAGGAGACCCTTGGGGTCAACAGAGCTGGTGTAGGGTGGGGGTGGGGTGGGGTGTGTGAGGGGGTACCTGCAGCCTGTTGTTACTTACATCAGTTGGGTTGTTGGGCAGCTCCAGGAGACCCTTGGGGTCAACAGAGCTGATGTAGGGTGGGGTGTGTGAGGGGGTACCTGCAGACTGTTGTTACTTACATCAGTTGGGTTGTTGGGCAGCTCCAGGAGACCCTTGGGGTCAACAGAGCTGATGTAGGGTGGGGGTGGGGTGGGGTGTGTGAGGGGGTACCTGCAGACTGTTGTTACTTACATCAGTTGGGTTGTTGGGCAGCTCCAGGAGACCCTTGGGGTCAACAGAGCTGATGTAGGGTGGGGGTGGGGGTGGGGTGTGTGAGGGGGTACCTGCAGCCTGTTGTTACTTACATCAGTTGGGTTGTTGGGCAGCTCCAGGAGACCCTTGGGGTCAACAGAGCTGATGTAGGGTGGGGGTGGGGTGGGGTGTGTGAGGGGGTACCTGCAGCCTGTTGTTACTTACATCAGTTGGGTTGTTGGGCAGGAGACCCTTGGGGTCAACAGAGCTAATGTAGGGTGGGGGTGGGGTGTGTGAGAGGGTACCTGCAGCCTGTTGTTACTTACATCAGTTGGGTTGTTGGGCAGCTCCAGGAGACCCTTGGGGTCAACAGAGCTGGTGTAGGGTGGGGGTGGGGTGGGGTGTGTGAGGGGGTACCTGCAGACTGTTGTTACTTACATCAGTTGGGTTGTTGGGCAGCTCCAGGAGACCCTTGGGGTCAACAGAGCTGACGTAGGGTGGGGGTGGGGTGGGGTGTGTGAGGGGGTACCTGCAGCCTGGTGTTACTTACATCAGTTGGGTTGTTGGGCAGCTCCAGGAGACCCTTGGGGTCAACAGAGCTGGTGTAGGGTGGGGGTGGGGTGTGTGAGGGGGTACCTGCAGCCTGTTGTTACTTACATCAGTTGGGTTGTTGGGCAGCTCCAGGAGACCCTTGGGGTCAACAGAGCTGATGTAGGGTGGGGTGTGTGAGGGGGTACCTACAGCCTGTTGTTACTTACATCAGTTGGGTTGTTGGGCAGCTCCAGGAGACCCTTGGGGTCAACAGAGCTGATGTAGGGTGGGGGTGGGGTGTGTGAGGGGGTACCTGCAGCCTGTTGTTACTTACATCAGTTGGGTTGTTGGGCAGCTCCAGGAGACCCTTGGGGTCAACAGAGCTGATGTAGGGTGGGGTGTGTGAGGGGGTACCTGCAGCCTGGTGTTACTTACATCAGTTGGGTTGTTGGGCATAGACCCTTGGGGTCAACAGAGCTGATGTAGGGTGGGGGTGGGGTGTGTGAGGGGGTACCTGCAGCCTGTTGTTACTTACATCAGTTGGGTTGTTGGGCATAGACCCTTGGGGTCAACAGAGCTGATGTAGGGTGGGGGTGGGGTGTGTGAGGGGGTACCTGCAGCCTGGTGTTACTTACATCAGTTGGGTTGTTGGTCAGGAGACCCTTGGGGTCAACAGAGCTGGTGTAGGGTGGGGGTGGGGTGGGGTGTGTGAGGGGGTACCTGCAGCCTGTTGTTACTTACATCAGTTGGGTTGTTGGGCAGCTCCAGGAGACCCTTGGGGTCAACAGAGCTGATGTAGGGTGGGGGTGGGGTGGGGTGTGTGAGGGGGTACCTGCAGTCTGTTGTTACTTACATCAGTTGGGTTGTTGGGCAGCTCCAGGAGACCCTTGGGGTCAACGGAGCTGATGTAGGGTGGGGTGTGTGAGGGGGTACCTGCAGCCTGTTGTTACTTACATCAGTTGGGTTGTTGGGCAGCTCCAGGAGACCCTTGGGGTCAACAGAGCTGATGTAGGGTGGGGGTGGGGTGTGTGAGGGGGTACCTGCAGCCTGTTGTTACTTACATCAGTTGGGTTGTTGGGCAGCTCCAGGAGACCCTTGGGGTCAACAGAGCTGGTGTAGGGTGGGGGTGGGGTGTGTGAGAGGGTACCTGCAGCCTGTTGTTACTTACATCAGTTGGGTTGTTGGGCAGCTCCAGGAGACCCTTGGGGTCAACAGAGCTGATGTAGGGTGGGGGTGGGGTGTGTGAGGGGGTACCTGCAGCCTGTTGTTACTTACATCAGTTGGGTTGTTGGGCAGCTCCAGGAGACCCTTGGGGTCAACAGAGCTGATGTAGGGTGGGGTGTGTGAGGGGGTACCTGCAACCTGTTGTTACTTACATCAGTTGGGTTGTTGGGCAGCTCCAGGAGACCCTTGGGGTCAACAGAGCTAATGTAGGGTGGGGGTGGGGTGTGTGAGGGGGTACCTGCAGCCTGGTGTTACTTACATCAGTTGGGTTGTTGGGCAGCTCCAGGAGACCCTTGGGGTCAACAGAGCTGATGTAGGGTGGGGGTGGGGCGTGTGAGGGGGTACCTGCAGTCTGTTGTTACTTACATCAGTTGGGTTGTTGGGCAGCTCCAGGAGACCCTTGGGGTCAACAGAGCTGATGTAGGGTGGGGGTGGGGGTGGGGTGTGTGAGGGGGTACCTGCAGCCTGTTGTTACTTACATCAGTTGGGTTGTTGGGCAGCTCCAGGAGACCCTTGGGGTCAACAGAGCTGATGTAGGGTGGGGGTGGGGCGTGTGAGGGGGTACCTGCAGTCTGTTGTTACTTACATCAGTTGGGTTGTTGGGCAGCTCCAGGAGACCCTTGGGGTCAACAGAGCTAATGTAGGGTGGGGGTGGGGTGTGTGAGGGGGTACCTGCAGCCTGTTGTTACTTACATCAGTTGGGTTGTTGGGCAGCTCCAGGAGACCCTTGGGGTCAACAGAGCTGGTGTAGGGTGGGGGTGGGGTGTGTGAGGGGGTACCTGCAGCCTGTTGTTACTTACATCAGTTGGGTTGTTGGGCAGCTCCAGGAGACCCTTGGGGTCAACAGAGCTAGGGTGGGGGTGGGGTGTGTGAGGGGGTACCTGCAGCCTGTTGTTACTTACATCAGTTGGGTTGTTGGGCAGGAGACCCTTGGGGTCAACAGAGCTGGTGTAGGGTGGGGGTGGGGTGGGGTGTGTGAGGGGGTACCTGCAGCCTGTTGTTACTTACATCAGTTGGGTTGTTGGGCAGCTCCAGGAGACCCTTGGGGTCAACAGAGCTGGTGTAGGGTGGGGGTGGGGTGTGTGAGGGGGTACCTGCAGCCTGTTGTTACTTACATCAGTTGGGTTGTTGGGCAGCTCCAGGAGACCCTTGGGGTCAACAGAGCTGATGTAGGGTGGGGGTGGGGTGTGTGAGGGGGTACCTGCAGCCTGTTGTTACTTACATCAGTTGGGTTGTTGGGCAGCTCCAGGAGACCCTTGGGGTCAACAGAGCTAGGGTGGGGGTGGGGTGTGTGAGGGGGTACCTGCAGCCTGTTGTTACTTACATCAGTTGGGTTGTTGGGCAGGAGACCCTTGGGGTCAACAGAGCTGGTGTAGGGTGGGGGTGGGGTGGGGTGTGTGAGGGGGTACCTGCAGCCTGTTGTTACTTACATCAGTTGGGTTGTTGGGCAGCTCCAGGAGACCCTTGGGGTCAACAGAGCTGATGTAGGGTGGGGGTGGGGGGGGGGGTGTGTGAGGGGGTACCTGCAGCCTGTTGTTACTTACATCAGTTGGGTTGTTGGGCAGGAGACCCTTGGGGTCAACAGAGCTGATGTAGGGTGGGGGTGGGGTGTGTGAGGGGGTACCTGCAGCCTGTTGTTACTTACATCAGTTGGGTTGTTGGGCAGGAGACCCTTGGGGTCAACAGAGCTGATGTAGGGTGGGGGTGGGGTGGGGTGTGTGAGGGGGTACCTGCAGCCTGTTGTTACTTACATCAGTTGGGTTGTTGGGCAGCTCCAGGAGACCCTTGGGGTCAACAGAGCTGATGTAGGGTGGGGGTGAGGGTGGGGTGTGTGAGGGGGTACCTGCAGCCTGTTGTTACTTACATCAGTTGGGTTGTTGGGCAGCTCCAGGAGACCCTTGGGGTCAACAGAGCTGATGTAGGGTGGGGGTGGGGTGTGTGAGGGGGTACCTGCAGCCTGTTGTTACTTACATCAGTTGGGTTGTTGGGCAGCTCCAGGAGACCCTTGGGGTCAACAGAGCTGATGTAGGGTGGGGGTGGGGTGTGTGAGGGGGTCCCTGCAGCCTGTTGTTACTTACATCAGTTGGGTTGTTGGGCAGCTCCAGGAGACCCTTGGGGTCAACAGAGCTGATGTAGGGTGGGGGTGGGGTGGGGTGTGTGAGAGGGTACCTGCAGCCTGTTGTTACTTACATCAGTTGGGTTGTTGGGCAGCTCCAGGAGACCCTTGGGGTCAACAGAGCTGATGTAGGGTGGGGTGTGTGAGGGGGTACCTGCAGCCTGTTGTTACTTACATCAGTTGGGTTGTTGGGCAGCTCCAGGAGACCCTTGGGGTCAACAGAGCTGATGTAGGGTGGGGGTGGGGGGGGTGTGTGAGGGGGTACCTGCAGCCTGTTGTTACTTACATCAGTTGGGTTGTTGGGCAGCTCCAGGAGACCCTTGGGGTCAACAGAGCTGAAGAACTGGCAAAGTGACTGAAAGACCAAAGACATACTAGGCATGCTGGACTGGTCCTGAAACCAATGAGAAAAGTCAAATTGACAGCTGGAAAATAGGAAACTACACAGAATTTGTTAAAAAAAAAATCAATTGACAGCTGGAAAATAGGAAGGTACACAGAATTTGTAAACAATTCAGTTGACAAGAGTAAGACAGAATTTGTAACAAAAAATCAATTGACACCTGTAAAATAGGAAGCCAAGAGAATTTGTAAAAAAAAAAAACTGACATCACAAACTAAAAATTTAGCATCACATAAAAGTTACAAAGACCAGGCTGATCAATCAGCGGCCATGGGTTGCCAGAGGGTCCAGTTTAATTAGTGTAAACTTACTGTGACAGATTTAAGCAGTTTAAACAATTCAACTCTTTTCTTCGACTTCTCAGGAAAGAAGAGAGGTGCACCTGAAACAAACAAATTTTACTTTACACAAGAGTTTCAGTGTGGTCTGACATGGAGTGTTTAACTCTACATCCTATTGGATATTGTCTCGTCTTCGTAGTGTGAGGAATTACAGGCTACAGGTTAGAAGTCTAATTTATGTCGGCTATCTTATTTAGTGACTATGGTGAACCATGCCTTAACTTTACTTCCCAATTTATGTAGGGGCATTAAAACAGAAATGATGGGGCTTTTGAAAAAAAAAACAGGAAAGATTTTTTCCATCTCAAAAAAACGGTTATAGCCATATTTCTAACAGCAAATCAAAGGGATTTTTTGGCTTTTCCAGGGAGAAGTAAATTTTAAAACAAAAAAAATTGTACTATAATACATAGTCAAATAAATGATTTTTTCAATTTTTATCACCAAAAGTTTTAATGTAAAATTTTCCCTCAGTGGGAATACCATCTATCAAAATTATATCTACTGAAGTCAACTTTCTTGACATGTCAACATAGCATCTATCACAGTCAAATATCTTGACATATCAACATACCATCTATCAGTCAAATATCTTGACATGTCAACTTACCATCTATCAGTCAAATATCTTGACATGTCAACTTACCATCTATCAGTCAAATATATTAACATGTCAACTTTCTATATATCACAAATATCTTGACATGTCAACATACCATCTATCACAGTCAAATATCTTGACATGTCAACATACCATCTATCACAGTCAAATATCTTGACATGTCAACATACCATCTATCACAGTCAAATATCTTGACATGTCAACATACCATCTATCACAGTCAAATATCTTGACATGTCAACTTACCATCTATCACAGTCAACTATCTTGACATGTCAACATACCATGTATCACAAATATCTTGACATGCCAACTTACCATCTATCAGTCAAATATCTTGACATGTCAACTTACCATCTATGATGATCTGCTTCATCAACCTGAGTTTGTTTTGTGTGTGAATGCTGGAGGGGTCGGAGCCTGTGACAGTTTCTGAGTTGACAATGTTACACAAGCGCTGGAATAGGCTGTCTCTGCTTGACTGGTGACCACATTGGAAAATAAAAACCAAACCAGTTTTTTAGGATAATATTTTTAGAACAATTGTTGCCAAAGGAAAAGATAAAATTCTTCATTTATTTTACTGACTATACAGATATGTCATCTTTACTATAATTAGAAAACTTTTGGTTTTTTTTAAATAGAAGCCAAAATTAAATAAATTCTATTTAATAGAATTAGACAACTTTTTTTTTAATAAAAGACAAGGTTAAGTAAAATTGTTCTGGCAACTTTCTGAGTATTGTTTGAGATGAAATGTGTAGAGATACACAGCCAGCTGCTTACCTCACTGGTCCCTCTACTTGTGGCCAACACAGGAATCAGGCCATGGATTAACTGAAGAACCAACAGAGATGACCGATTCCAGTGGTCATAATTTTTACCACCACCTGTCTCTTCGAACATTCTGTGATAAAGAACAAAGTGAATTAATGGATAAACAATTTAAAATGAAAATTATTTAGGTTACAGAAGAGTTCTCTACCAACCTTTTTTCACAAACTGTGTACAAGTTCCATAACTGGCTGACATCCAGGTCAGACAAATCCAGAAATTCAAACTGAGGCTTTACAACACGCCCTCTTTTCTTCACCTGAGTCGCAGACAGGAAACAAAGGGGTAAGACATTTTTTTAAAACTCAGAATTTACTAGAATTTGAAAATATGGGATCAGTAGGGACCTCCTGTGAGAAGGTGATCAGCAGAGAGCAGTCAGTATAGAGGTCAGTTTTATTGGCAAGGAACAGAGAAGGAAATTTTCAACATTGAGGCATATCATGAAAGCAATTGCTAGTACAACTAATTGTATTACTGTAAAGCACCTGTTCTGTTGCAATACAACTAACTGTATTACTGTAAAGTACCTGTTCTGTGACATTACAACTAACTGTATTACTGTAAAGTACCTGTTCTGTGGCAATACAACTAACTGTATTACTGTAAAGTACCTGTTCTGTGGCAATACAACTAACTGTATTACTGTAAAGTACCTGTTCTGTGGCAATACAACTAACTGTATTACTGTAAAGTACCTGTTCTGTGGCAATACAACTAACTGTATTACTGTAAAGTACCTGTTCTGTGGCAGTACAACAAATTGTATTACTGTAAAGTACCTGTTCTGTGGCAATACAACTAACTGTATTACTGTAAAGTACCTGTTCTGTGGCAGTACAACAAATTGTATTACTGTAAAGTACCTGTTCTGTGGCAATGTCCGTGGTGAATGTTGAGACCACACTGACAACCTCAGGAATTTCACAGATCTGTCTCTTGGATGGGTCTGGTACAGCCACAGATTTCTGTAGACACAACAGACACACAGTCAGCACAAAGTTTACACACTAAGGCCAGACACAAAGTCAGCACAAAGTTTACACACTAAGGTCAGACACATAGTCAGCACAAAGTTTACACACTAAGGACAGACACAAAGTCAGCACAAAGTTTACACACTAAGGTCAGACACATAGTCAGCACAAAGTTTACACACTAAGGTCAGACACATAGTCAGCACAAAGTTTACACACTAAGGTCAGACACATAGTCAGCACAAAGTTTACACACTAAGGCCAGACACAAAGTCAGCACAAAGTTTACACACTAAGGTCAGACACAAAGTCAGCACAAAGTTTACACACTAAGAACAAGCATACAGTCAGTACAAAGTTTACACACTAAGGCCAGGCACACCAGTGACACAGTCAGCACAAAGTTTACACACAAAGAACAGACACATTCAGCACAGAGATAAACAATAAAACCAGGTAACAATAAAACATGACAATGTTTTCAAGGAAAACAATTCAAAATGCCAAGGTCTGTTTTTGAAAACAAAAAAAGCCACACTCAACTTTTTTTTTAAATGCACCTCAGTCAAGTTACAAAATATTGTTTTGAAACAAAACATCACAGACTGAACCTACCAAACAAAACATCAGACTGAATCTACCAAACAAAACATCACAGACTGAACCTACCAAACAAAACATCAGACTGAACCTACCAAACAAAACTTCACAGACTGAACCTACCAAACAAAACATCACAAACTGAACCTACCAAACAAAACATCACAGACTGAACCTACCAAACAAAACATCACAGACTGAACCTACCAAACAAAACATCACAGACTGTACCTACCAAACAAAACATCAGACTCAACCTACCAATGACTTTTTCAAGTTACAAAATATTGTTTTCAAACAAAACATCACAGATTGAACCTACCAATGACTTAGTGTCCAGGATAAGATTCTTGGTGAGGCCATAGAACTTGATGGACACAATGCCAAGTTTTGTGGCTGACTCATGCCTGGGTTCCAGGAATTTCACTAGGATGTACTGCGACAAGAAGTTTTTATCTTTCAATACACTTTTTAAAAGGGCAAGTGATAGTTAACTAGGTTTTAAAAAGATGTTGATATTTTGTTTTTAAAAACAATTTAACTAATTTAAAAAGGTAGTACAGTAATATTAACTAAGTTTTAAAAAGCAGTTATTTAATATTTAAGTTTTAAAAAAGGCTATATGCTTGTATTTGAACTAAGTTTTAAAATAACATTTTAACAGTAATCTCCACCAATAGAGTAAGTCAATGTCACCTTTCCTACAGCATTCCAAAGAACAGGGGCATCAACTTCATCACTGAAAGTTGTAATAATTGTATACATGGTGTTCAGATTAAAATTCTCCATATTATAAGATGTGTTGTGAAACTGTGGCACTAAGGTTACATTACAATACCATCAAGTGTTTTAAATATATCATGTGATAGATGATGTACCAATTATTTTTATATTTTTAAAAAAAATTGTAACAAGCAATGAACAAAATCTATAGAAACCTAACAATTATTATAAGAAGCTGAAAATTATTTTAACAAACCTAGCAATTATTTTAATAAGCAATCATTATAACAAACTTACCAATCATTGTCTACTTGAAAGAAACAAACAGGGTTGTCTGCTAATCCACCAAGACCAGCATTTCTAAAAGTTTATTGAAAAAATTATCCTTTAACACTTCAAGTATTAATAGATTAAAATTTATTAAAAAATAAAAACAGCAAAACAGACTTGCTACAAATACATAAGAACACTTTGATTAACACAATTGTGTAGGCTATGAAGAGTTAATTTACCCTTAAATATGTTGTAGCATAAGACCTACTAAACAAAATAAACAAAACACTATGTATCTATTATAACAAAAGCAGACAGACCTGTATGATATACTAAATTCAAATTCCTTTTCCCTCCAGAAATCATATTTAGAAAAGTAGTTGATGTGTTCCTCTGCATCAAACTTCGGGCTCAGCTCTGACACTGATCTAGAATAAAATTATGAAACATCAGTTTATTATACCCCTAACATAGCTATGATTATAATCAGGTTTGGTGTGTTAAACTATAAGCAGCTTATAACAGTAACATGATTTGACGGTTACCTAAGGAAACAAAAGATGAAAACTTACTCTGGGTTGTAAACAAAAATAAGCCCATACTTTGGGCCTTTGTTCCCTGAGGCTACCTGAAGTAAATAAATCATTCACTTTATTTAGTTGTACAAGTTAACCCTAATTATTACATACACAGTGCTACAATAGTATTCAGACAAAATCTGTTCGATTTAAACACAAACATAACAGACGTTTTCTTACTATAAAAACCTAAAACAAATGAAGCAATAAATTCGTTTTTATCTAATTAAAGCTTCCCGTTTTGTAACATAATAAATTTGTCTCCCTTAATAGTGCAAAGAAAATCATCAAACCTGAATTCTGACTTTTGTTAGTTGAATATTTTCTTCAGCTTTAAAGATCATGGTACATTTGGTTTTCCCATTCTCTGTTAGGTACACTGTATAAAGAAAAATGACACTCATGAACGTGTTCAATGTTAAAAATGGGTTTGAAAATGATAGACTCAAATTCTGTGTCATGTGACTTCTGTGTGCTGATGTGGCCCACATACCTCTTGTGTTAATGGACACCTGACTCCTCGTGTTGGACGCTGGACGTGATTCAACCACAGCATCCGGTCCAACATTTGAAGAACCTGATCCACCATCAGAGGCCAAATATGTCACAGGGATATAAGCACCTTTAAAAAATTGGACATTTTTAACATCATGCTAGTACAAGTAGGAACATAGAAACATCAGCTTGATCACTGGAATGAAGGGAACATTGATCCAATTGTTAGGTGACTTACCCAACTTCTCCCAACAACTATTTCTAGCAGCAACTGCTTTAGCTAGTAGATCTACACAGGGAAGTTTTAAACTGGGAATTTCTAGGAATAAAAATATTTTAAGACATTGTTTAGTGCATTAACTCAATAATTAACGGTAAAATAAAAAACTTAATTAAATAAACGAAACAAAATATGTTTGATTTACTCACCAACAATCTTGTTCAAAAACCTGACAAGTCCTGCAACACTACCCCTGGCCAAGTTTAATGCTAAGATAACTTGAAGCCCCTCAACTGTCAGCTGGTCTGGTGAATCTGGGCTATAGAAGAATAAAAAAAAATTTCCTCAGCCAATCAAAGTTTGTTATACAATAATACTGGTATTGATGTAATTTAAAGTGCAAGCCATGCAGGTAAACAAATTCTTACCTTTGAGCCAACTTCTCAGCAAAGTTTTCTATCTCTTGTAAAACTGATCTGCTTAAAAATGCTGGTTTTTCTGTGCTGGAAGAGCTCAGGATAAGTGGAGGCATCGACTCCAGGGATTTTCTGAAAGTACGGACAGAAATAGTTTGTTAATTTTTACATTGACTCCAGGGATTTTCTGAAAGTAGGGACAGAAATAGTTTCAGTAAATTTTTACTCAACAGTGACATCTAAACACGAGGACAGAAATATAGATCCAGTTAACTTTTACATCGACTCCTTTGATTTTCTGAACATAGGAACAGAAACATAGCATAAGCAAATTACTTTCTGCGTAAAAATTTTCTGGCATAAATATTTCATGCCAAATAAAAAATTATCAAAAGCAAAGAGTATGGAGCACAATACATAGCAAATTTCCCTCGTCTTGTTTGGTTTGTATTCCCATTATAGACTATAGCCTTACTTTGTATGTGCTAAGAGAGTTGTCCTTAGTGCTGGAGATTGTGGCAGGTTCAGTGATATAGTAGTTGTCAACACTTGAAGGTACCATAATGCTGAGGCATCTAACACAGTTGTCACCCCTTGTTCCTTCACCAACCTGAAGATACACATGGGAAAAACAATGGAGTTTTTTTTCTACTTGTTTGGAGTTTTCAAAAATGGAAATGGTTTGTTTGCAAATATGTTTATTTTAAACTATTAATTTAACCTTTCTTGAGGCTGTCTGAAATATAAATTGTATGATTACTTTGAAAAAACTATAATAATCATGTTAAGCTCTATCATTTTACTTCATATTTTGCATCCAAAAATAAAGAGTACATACTTGAACCCTACAGCCCTGACCCCATGTATTCTTGTATCACACCCATCTCCATGGCAACGTTTTATATTGATTTGAATGTCTGGAGAAAAAATACAATTTATTTGTTACAAAATCTATAGTATAAAATATGACTCATTCAATTCTAAGTGACTAATCATATTTCATGTTAAGAAACTGTTTTAATATTTCCACAATCAGCAATATCATCAGGGCTCTCAGTGTTTGCTAAACATAGAGGTGGCTAATGTGAATGTGTAAGCTAGAAAGTACAAACAGTTGTATCAGCAAATTAACAAGACAACAAACAATCCATCAGTTCAAGTCTGTGTTGTAGAAACATTTTCAATGAATAAATATTGATACTCACATGCATAGTGCACCTTCATGTTCTTCAACAGCAAAACTCTGCCTGTTATATGGCTACAGGAAAACAAAACAAATTTAACTCAGTGAAACAAATACATTCCTAAATAATATTATTAAAATGTAAAATATGTCAGGCCGAATTTTTTAATTACTGATATATAGCTACAAAAACACAAACCGAATTTAACACACGGAACAAATACATTCCTAAATAATATTGCTGGAATTTCTAGCCTCAACACAAATTCACTAAAACCTACTTTTCAATTTTAATTTCTTTGATTTCTCTCAGCTTATTGGGTGACTGACCAACAGAAATGGTGACCAGTTCAGGCATATAACTCTGGTCAGTTGATACCACTCCAATAGACAAGTGCTTTAACATAATATTATTCTTGATATGGAGTCTGTTAGAATAAGTGCATTTAAAATTATATTGTTATGGATGAGAAGTCAGTTTTTTTAAATTTGATAGTGTGATATTTTAAAATAAAGTCATTAGGAAGATAATTGATAAAAGTTATTTAACATGATGTTTTTATGACACAATGTCTTTTAAAAACATTGCTGAAAGTTATGACACAAATACTATTTTAGAAAGCCATCTTTAAAGACTACACTTGGATAAGAATAGTTGAGCAGCATCAAGGATTACCTTATCCAATGTGACCTTGCTGCCCCATCAGATTGCCAAAATGTTGAATTGCTTCTTAATCTGAATTTAGAAAAAAAATTATTTAACATGCTCATGTTTTTGTTTTTTTATAGCAAAAAGTAATATTAAGATTTTAATAAATGTTATGATTTTTAACTGCTAAAGACTACTTACAGATGAGCCTCTGAGTGATTTGATGATACCTCGATGTTGCTTATACAGTTGTAGATTGTGCGTTTTTCTACTTCACTCAGTTCACTTTCAACCTCAAAATCTTTCACTAAAATATTTGTTTGTACTTACAGTTAGAGATCAAAACCAAAGTACAATAGTATTACATTCTATTTCAAAGAACAAAACTAACGTCAATATATATTACTGTTTATCAAGCCTAAATTAAATTAAGTAAAAATATAGATACCTTCTTTTTTTGTTGCATTGAGCAAGGATTTCAACGAACAAAACTAACGTCAATATATATTACTGCTTATCAAGCCTAAATTAAATGAAATTAAAATATAGATACCTTCTTCTTTTGTTGCATTGAGCAAGGATTTCAGTACTGATGACCTCATGATGTATACATTGTTAAAACTATTTAGATATGGAAATGGAAGAGATGTGCTTTCTGCTCGGTTTCTTAATAAATACTGAAAGTAAAGACAACATTTTATTGGCTTCTTATTCTTGATGGAGAGAATTGAGAAATCTTTTCTAGAAGTAACAAAATATGTAAACATTATGACACCTAAAATATAAAAAACATTTTAATTTAAAATAAGTACGGAAATGCAGCACTTTTAAATATTTCTTTGAGGTAATTGAACTACTAAAGATAAAATAAACATACATATGTTTTACTAAATTGAAGATATTTAGTTATAAGAATGTTTTAAATACTGTAATAAAATAAATTCTATTTTGCATCTCCTGCCATGTAACTACAAGAAAACCTAAGACTAACTAACTCAATAAAAACCAAATATTTTCTAACTCCATCTTCAGGGTTTAAGTTATTGGTCGAAATTCACAGAATTTAAGTCATTTATATGTTAAAATGGTACGGCATAGTTGGTCAGTACAGCGTTTGACTGCTAACCAGAATGTCTCAAGTTTAGATCTCAGAATCAAGTCCTTAGAATGTCCTTGAGCCTACCTAACTCTGATGGGTACCTGGCTTGTGTTAGAAAAAGTAAAAGCATAGAACTGACCATACCTATTCTTTAGGTTAGAAAGGGTAACTTTACTTTTTTATATTTGTTATTTGTAACTTAAAATGCTAAATACTTTACGAAATACAACACCATGTTTATTATATACTTTAAAGATACGACATGACATAATATATTAACAGCCATACAAATATTTGTGAACGTCCTTAAGAATACTAGGGTTGTTAGTAAACAAAATGTAAACGTTAGCTACCTTAAGAATACGAGCACCGTGTTTATCTACATGATGTGTAGTCCCTGCGTAGACGTCCACAAACCCAGGGGTGAGGGAACATGATTGGAGAATTCTGATTGACTTGCCAAGCTCACCCAGGGCACTGCGGCTAGAAAACTGGCTCATTGCTTCTATCATGGTCTGCACATCTGCCACCCCACTGCCATCACAGTCAAATTGATGGAATGCCTAGAATCAACAGTTAAACCAAAATTATATTTAAATCTATTTTATTACAAAACAAGTATTCATAATTTTATTATATATTTTAAACATAAAATAATAACAAAATCTTTATCAGACATCTAGAAGTTTTTGAGGACCTATACTATCCAAGGATAAACACAGTTCACAAAACTGTGGTATGTTATACCAATGTATAAATCTGACTTACTTTAAGAGCCTCACAACGTTCTACTCCTTGGTTCATTAGCATGTCACAAAACTGAGCAAGTGTGATACTGTCCTGTAACAATATCACAGAGCAAATATCACATTTTTGATTCAATAATAAAAGAATTTTTAAGTTTTAAAATTTGCATATTTTAAATCAGCTTTAAACTTAATCCTGTATTAAGATCATTATGACCATCAAAATTCATAACAAAACACCAAAACCCAGATGGTGTGAACACAGATGAGCTTTGAACCTACATCCATTCTTTCAAGCCTGGCTTCCAGCCACTGCATGATGTGAGAGTTGTGCTGCAGGATGACATTTTCTGGTATCTTTTCCCTGGAGAAACAAACAGTACATTCATTGAGTCGTCGTAGAAGGGTTATATATTTCAACAATAAGAATACATGTTTGAGTAATTCCAAGATTGAATGCTTGCACCAACAAGGATGAAAAATAAATAGATTTTATTACTTGACTTTAGTAGCTGTGGCACGCAATGTTGCATTATCACTGAAGAGATGACATAAATCTGTTGTTGGCCTTGTCTCACTTTCTGTAAAAGTTTTCATAACATATTTTAATTAAACAATATTTCCTTATGTTAAAAATATAATGCTTAATCTAATAGCTTAAACATCATTAAATTTAGACTTCTTAAACTAAGCAGGTCAATAGTATTTCTCTATGAATATAATTCTTAATTATCACTAAAAATTGTTACTAATTAAAGTAAAGTAGGGAACTAACCACTTGCATCATCTCCATCTGAAACTTCATCATCTGCCTAGAAATAGATTAACTCATACATAAAGCAACACTTGAAATGTAACTTAAATGTTCTAAAATTTTGTCCATACAAACTAAGTAACTATGAAATAGTGACCTTCTGGAATAGTGTTGGAATAAACAAAATCGGACCTGACATTTAATTTGGTTTTACTAGCCTACATATTATTAAAATGTAAACCTTTTATGAATTATGTAGGACATTGAAACGTTTTTTGTGTGGATTATTTTATCAAATACATTCCTAACTAAAACAGACCCAGGTGTGAATAACCACTATGTAAAATTGAATTATTTTTTTTAACCTCACTGTTGTTATCCTAACAGTGAAAATGTTAGAGGATTGGTTTAAGGACTAAAATTAATGTAAAGTAAAATCAATTGACATTGACAAACTCTCAAAATAATAAATGTTTTTAACAATTAGATCTATATTTATATTATTTTTATAACTAAGTCATCTAGATCTAGTGTTGTATCTACAGTCAAACTATCACTGAGCCTGAGCACACATTTCATCATACAATGAATTAACTATTGTATTTCATCGGCCTGGCCTAGCCTAGCCTTACTCAGCCTATCATTATACATTATTTATACCATTATACTATATTAATATTATTAGGCCTTAATACTATCATCTACACATCTATCATACCTAATCATATCATAATCATGTATAGCCTTTCATACACACACAGCTATTCAATAGGCCTGATTGTTGGATTTTGTTTTCTTAAATATTTATATAAATACAATAGGCCTAGTAAGTAACTTTGTTGACTAAATCTAGATTTCTAAGAAATGTTATCAAACATCTAGATCTAGAACTAGAGAGTCTAGATCTACATTAGATCTGTCTAGATCTAGACAGATAAAGACTACTCTGTAGTCTAGATTAGTGTAGATTAGTGATTTAGATTAGTAAAAAAAAAAGTTCTAGACTCTATGTGACAAGTCCACAGTTCATCAACTTATTGTTCTGAAATGTCAAATGACATGTAAATTCAGAATTGTAGAAGTAGCTAGATTCTAAATCTAGATATAGATCTAGAGTCTAGATCTAGAAATCTAGATCTAGTCTACTTCAATTCATTCAACTTAAAAAATTAAAATGTCTTAAATCAGAAAATCAAGTGTTCAATATTCAATATTCGTTCATTGTTTAAAAATGTTTAATGTTTATTTTATTTTTTTAACTTTCAATAACCTACATCTATAGGTGCCTCGACTTTTCCCTCATCATCACTATCACTTAAAGAATTTCCCATTTTCTATGAAGATTTATGCCTAATCAAATAATAATATAAAATGAATCTCATTTCGAGGAAATGGAACTACTGTTCTGTCAATAAAAATCTACCAAATTTTCCTCGACCGGAAATTTTTGCATGCCTCCGTAGTGACTTCCCTTGGATGTTTTTTTTCTTTTTACTTTCTCGTATATAGATCTACGAAGTATAGAGAAAGTCTTGTAATCGTGCAAAAAAAAAAAATCGAGATTTTTACAAATCTCGACGTTTCACACCTCACTGATACGGAAAAACATAATTTTGCAATCTTGTCCGTATGTCTGTGTGTCTGTCTGTGTGTCTGTGTGTCTGTCCGTGTGTAAACACGATAACTTGAGTACCGTTACAGCTAGGTTGATGAAATTTCATATAAAAGTATTTAATCAAAATCGTTGATCCGTATCAAGTTTTGAGCGATTTCCGATAACCGGAAGTGGTACTTTTCCTACTTTGAATTTTTCAAAAGCCTATAACTTGAGTACTATTTCAGATAGATAAATAAAATTTCATATGTAAGTAAAAGATCTAATTCTCTACCTTCTATTAAATTTTGAGTCATTTCCGTTGACTGGAAGTAGTACTTTACGCTACTTCCGATTTTTCAAAAAACTAATGTAAATTTTAAAAGTAATAATAATATTGCGCACCATTATGCGCTTTTTTATTTGGCGTTCACTTGGTGTGCAATTAATTTGTCTACGAGATTTTATTCTATTTTTAAAACTTTAAGTATTTAAAATTGATTAAAAATCATGTCTATAGCCCGAGTTCCCATCCCCTGTTATTTTATATAAGAATATTCGAGAAAGTTTAGGGGAGATCACTCCCGGTTTATTTAATGTTAGGCCTAGTTGTTTCTATGGAATCTGTAGACCTAGATTATATAGTTATAGAAATATAAATCGTTATATGGCAGTTTCTCCGAGACATAAGGGGAACTTCCTTAGGAGAAATTTCTGCCGGGCTCTACAACCTCGACTAGGGGTGAAAAACTGACCGAGAGTGACCACCGTCTCTTATTATAGCTTATATCGATCTGTATTGAGTATTGAGGGGGAAAAGTCTCAACGTGGAGTTGTTAACGGCAGACCAACGATTATACGATACCCGAAATAATCGCATAAAATATAGGCCTAGTAAAAATAATTAAAGTGGTATAAACCAACCAAAGTCCTTATTTCTCTGTATTCTAAACAGCCTATAGGCTATATTCAAAGATTGCCTACATAGCAAAATTTCCTGAAGAAAAAGAAGCCCTATTTCAAACAAGCGTTAACTCCTAACTTAAACAGACTATTTAAACTGCCTATACAGTGATCTCTCATATATATGCTATACCGAGAAGCTGGCGCCTGTATGTGCACCCTCCTCTCCCTCTACCGAAAACCTGACCCTTGTTTTGCGTGTCAAATATGTGACTTTGTTTCTTTCTAGTTTGTCTTTCAGTCAAAATAATTTTATTTAAAAAAAATATAGATCTATGTTTCAATTTAACAAACATAATCTTTCTGTTCTACTAAGTTGCAACAGTTTTTCATTTGGGCGGAAAGGAGGATCAAGTGAGAGGATGGGGACATGCCAGCTCAAGCAAAATGTTCTTTTAGTATATACGAGCCGACCCGCGCTATTTAGTTGTTTTATTTTCTACTTTTCAGTAATTCATAATTTGTGAATTCGAGTACCACTGCTGTCACTGAAAATATTTGCTTTAAAACACTATCAGTAAGTCGTTAAGGACGATACCCCCCCCTCTTTTCTCAAAACCCCTAACCCCCCCCCCCCCCCCCCGTGAAAGCAGCCTCCTCTTAGCTACCTCCCCTAAGTTTAAAATAGTTTCAAACTAAATTATCTGCCCCTAATAGCCGTCACTTAACCCGGCTCTACGATTGTAAACATTTAGCGTGAACCACAGCTCACCAGACTTCCTAGACAGGAAGAGAGGGGACTGCAAGGCGAGCTTACAGCTTGTTTTCTAACGTCTCCAAGAAGAGAATTATATATATAGAAGATTATGTTACCAGTCTAGCTTCCTGTAGCATACTGCTGCTAGCTGCTTAGTAGCATACCTCCATTTGTTTAAAGTAATATGTAATGTAACAGAATGATCTCTACATTAAGTATTTCAGAAAGATGTTAACATATTTTTAACAGTGTAACTATATGAAAATATATAAGAACATTAATTCACCAGTTACTTATCTTCTTCTTGCCTTGAGGTAATTTACCTATCTACAGTTTTGATTTATTTTGTTTCTAATGTGGTTCTCGATTATTTGTCTTCATTTTTCTCCAAACAGAAAATATTTAGCTCTGCCATGGTTTCTTTTTAAAAAATTTCAACAAGGCATAATGTATTTTTTAGTACATGTACTTGTAAAAACAACAGCTGATGTTTGTGCTAGAAATGCTACCCAACAACAACACAGGCATATTGAACCTCTGTATGATACTGTTCTTATTCATGTTCAGACTTTATTAAAATCTTTGTTTTTTCTGATGAAGCAGTAACATTTAACAAGTTCTCCAACATTTATAGAGAAGATGTATATAAATGTCTGCTATACCTCCTGATTTAGATCAGCAGTAAAAGCTGCAATCATAATTCTTTTGCATTACTTTTTTTAATCCACAATGGTTTATAATTTTCGTCTTGCTGAAGAGTTCCTCTCACACAAATACACTGACAAAACATGACACCCATACTAGACATTCACAGTGTACCACACCATCCTAAACAGTACACCATCACCAAACATTTAACAACTTTAAAAAAAATTGGAATTCATAATTTTTTTATAAACATACACGTTTTATTTTTTTAAAGTACTTATGTATTTAAAAGAATTATTAAAAAAAATTGCTTCAACGATATTCTAGCTCTTTGAGTTTAAAAAAATGTATAACTGAGATACAATTAATACACTTGAGTGAGGGGTGACCAATGGGCAGCAATAAAAGCACACATGACAGGAGCCTCTTGACCAGAGTTATGACAATGATTTAAGGCTGGAGAGCAGCAAGAACAGATGTACATAAGGCCTATGTCTGGAGCGGCTTCATCTTGTAACTAGACACAAAATGTACACACGTAATGGCCAGCAGAAAAAAACAATTGTTACATAGCAATCAGAGCAAGGAAAAAACTACTCGAAGTTAATTTGTATTAGAGAAAATAAAACTTAGTTTGACCTATTGGCCAGGCAATCAACAGTAATGAAACTGCATACAAGAAAAATAATTTAATTGTAATAGGATTTATTAGAAATGCCACATTCATAAAACGTGTACATATTAACAAACTTAAAAATGCCTATAAAATCTTAAACATTATTAAATGCTAGCAGTTTTGGATTAGGATAAACTTTGATAAAGAATGCCAAACAAACTAAGTTCCCACAAGGTGCTAGTTCTAACTGTAACTATAATTAGAATATACAAAATATCTTAACCCACATATTTTCCTTCACTAAATGCTCTTATTAACACTAGAGACTCAAAATATGGGGAGGGGGGAAATTTCCATTTCTTTTAACATTTTATTAGCATTTTCTTGGGAGTTTAAAATATTAAAAATCCACTGTAAAACAAAACTCAAGACCCTATATACAACAGAAAGTGGTAAATAATAGCATACACAGGGTCAAGTGTTACATATGTACACATCAACAATAAATTACTTCCCTTTATTTTGCTAAACCATGATTACAAGGCTAAGATTACCTAAAACAATTGTCAACTTTTAATAGCCAGTAAACCTTTTACATAACATTGAATGAGAAATTCTAAAAATGTTTACATTAAAAGTAGTCATAAAGTGAGAGATTTAATTAAAAAATGTAAATAAATCAACACCTTAGAAATACAATTGCCAGTACCAAATGCAACCTCTTGGAATCTTGTATTTCTATGGTGACGAAATACCACTAATATCTAACAAAACCTTCTCCAAATCAAATATTTTCTTTTCTAATGCTGCCTATTCAAAAGTATGATGCAAGGCTATTATAAGGACATTTGTAGATGTAACTGCTGACAATTCATTCAGAGGTTCATGACAAGCTAATGTCTTCCAGCTATCTACTTATATAATATTATGGTAACCTCAGTAATACAGTAATGAGTCTCACAACGCCTTTATTATTGTAAAAATATGTGCAGATTTGTTAAAAAAAACAACAAACACCTCAGTGCTGTTACACCAAACATTAACCAGACAATATGCAGCATAAGACAACTGCTCTTTTTTCCATGTTCAGTATTAAACTAGAAAATTAGCCAAAGTGAAAATACAACTATATATATATATATTTATTTAGTGTATTAAATCATTTATGAAATATGATAAGATGAAAACATTTTAATTGCACAAAGTTTATCGTAATATGGAGTTATGAGATAAAATAATAGCTGGACAACTAATTTATGTAAAGAATAAATGATATAAAATTAACACTGTAATGATTACAGTATATGATTATAAAAGCTCTTTTAAAGAGACAAACTGTTAGTACATTAAAAAGTTTTGACAAGAAATTTTTTTTTATTTTACACAAGTAACTTTAAAGTGAAATTTATTATTAAATCTGAAGAATTCTAAACTTACAAGAACTGAATGTTTTTCTTAACAGCCACAACATGAATCATGATCAAAGTGTGCAAGGATATGGGTAGATAATGTCTGCTACTAAAACTTTTTTCCTAATATACTTTTATTTACTCAGAAAATGAAATGCGTGAGAAAATGGGATGTTACCTCAGAATAGCACTGTACATGTAAACAAAGGACAACAGTTAATTTGTTAGTATGGAGCTTAGGAATGTCCATTTCTTCATTCACATTTCTTCACTTACGCTAACTGGACATGAAACAAATGCTTTAAAAATATCTTCCATTAAAACACATCTTTAGCAGACAGCAGAGCCATACATTTTCACAGCAATGGTAATAACATCCAGCCATTAAGACAATATATATGAAAAAATGTTTAAATTAAAACAATTTCAGGGGCGGTGCCTTTAAAAAAACTACATCGAAGTCGTAACACTATTATTCACAACACAAGTACCTTAGCCTCCACCACATAAAGTTTGTTAAAAATAAGTTTTTGAAGTTTCAATATGAACACAGTCAATAAAAGATTGATCTTAAGATAAAACTTGGGTTAAAACCAGATAAACTGATATAACAAATGAACAGTTAAAATGCAGTCAATAATCCATTGTCTAACATTAACAAAAAGTAGGATTCAAGCAGCCTGTCATCAATAGTAACAGCCACAGAGAGGCAGAGGAAATTAATAGAAGTCTGTAGTTCACATTTTCCTAAAAACTTGATTTCCCAGATAATATTTTATAATTCCAAGAGTCAAACGAGAAAGTAATTATTCTGCAGTAGTAACACTTTCACCATTGGTGGTAACAGTTGCACTTGAAGTGGTGGTGGTTGTGACCATAGAGTCTACCAATTTTTGCTTCAGCAGAGCAGGATCCTCAATGACAGCTGTGGTCATCTTCAGCTCACTCAGCTGTTTGATCACTTCTTCACCTGTGTGGGTCACTTTTTCTGTGGTTTTTGTCACAAATTCACTTGTCCTAGTGGTCACTTCATGCTGGAAAACAAAATGTTTACTTTGTTAAAACAAAACTAAATGGAGATCTTTTAAAAATTGGATCATTTTAGAAATCATGAGAAAATAATATAAACTGATATAAGGATATTGTAGTATCAGGAGCGAGCAACTAGGAGGGTCTTCCTAAATGTTGAGTTTATTCCCTTATATTGAAAAAATGTTGAATAGCACCCAGGTCAGGATTAAAAAAAAACCAGAGACCCCCTCCCCCAATTTCTTCCTATTTTATTTTTTAACTTAAGCAAGAGTACAGGTGAGGGAAGACAGCAAAATCTCCAGAACATCCCTCCCTTAACTTAAAACAAGGAAGGTTCAAGTTCCCACTGGGGTAAAAAAAATCTGGAACTTTGTGGCTTACCAAAATAAGGGAGTTAAAAAAATATCAAAAGATGAAAAAGAAGCAGACAATTTATTTTACTGACACCAATACAGCCAGAAGGAAAAGACATCACTTAATGCAAAAATAGCCTTACCTCAGAATAATTATTTTACATGCCTTTTACTACATTAAAAAACATTTAATGACTACATAAACTAATTTTAAGTGCTCTATTAAGTATAAGAAATTAATTTTAAACCATGCAAGTTCTTGTTTAATTATAAACACACATTTGAAAAATGTAGACAAAAATAGAAATACCAATATTCATGCTAAAAAAAGAAAATGTAATGGCAACTGAAAGATAAAGTTGAACTGAAAACTAGTGGTCTTGTGATGACCAGAGTCTAGCTAAGAGAGGGATGTATTCCTAAAGAAATGAGATTTGCTTCTTCCCTTACCTGTGTTTCTTTCAGTACATCAGTCACACCATCTTCTTCTGCATGCCCATTGGTTACTGCATTGAAAGGTTAATCAAAGGATGTTAAAATACTTTTAACTCAAACCAAATACACAAATGACAGCTTTTCGACTAATGCAAAATGTTGATGTGTTACTTCTGAATAAGTACTAAAGAGTGAAACAACGAGTGTCAATTAGATAAAGGTGGTTAACCTGTAGTCACTGCCCGATGTGCCTCTTGTGTTGCTGTTGCTGCACTCTCTGACACTGTGGATGTTGTTGTCTGCGTGATTGTTCTAACAGATGTGACTATTGTCCCTTCATTCTCTGCACTAAACACACAGAAAAATCAAACTCAGTTGTCTTCTTATCACAACCTTTTATACAATTCATTGAAGTATTTCACACACAAAAATTATCCATTTAACAGGCAAATGCAAGACAATTTGTACCAAAAAAAATGATGCAAGGACAATACTACATTTCTAACTCCAGGTTCTAAATACAGGTTAACATAATAATTTTCCTACATGCCACAACTTTAAAATATTAAAACAGTATAAAAATTAATCCAATTAATTATGAGTATATAAAATCATTATATGAATTATTTTTTGTACTCAGCAGTTTTAACATGTCACATTTTTTTAACCTGTTGCCTACAAGTAAACATGAACTTAATACAGTTAATCGTGACCATTAAGAATCAGAGTTGGTATTACAAACAAGAGATGTGCTAATGATGTTAGTATTATCAATGTCTTTAATAACGAAAGCCCTTGACTCCAAGCAGCGACCAGTGGAGTTCTCGTACAAATAAAATAAGGGGTATATAATTTAATCTTTTACAAGAACTACTTAAAATGGATAACTATGTTATTGTAACTGAGATATGTAACATGATTGTCATGCAGGTGAAATATTTGTTAACTAGAGTAAACAAGTGAGGAATACAAGTCTGTTAAATACTAGTACAACCCAGAATGTTATCTATAATTGTTACATGAAAAAAATAAAAATTATGATGCACTGATTTACGTGGAACAATAAAAGATTATTTCACACCCAAAAACCTGAACTCACATGACATCCCTCACACTGTCAATTGTTATATCTGCAGACATTGCTGACATATTCATGTGCGACTCATCCGCACTTGGCGCTGTAACGTCTGCTTCACTGTTAATTTACAATTTGTCATCATAATGTCAGTGTGCAAGGTAAGTATTAACAAGGTTTAGTAGAGAAACTGGCCATTAAAAATGATCTAATGGACTGGAACAAAACAAAAACAGTACCCTGCTATGAAGCGCAGATATAAAAAAGCTTTTAACGAGAAGGTATTAGCAATGAGAGTCATGTTGAGAATGAAATAAGCATGCTGGTTGGTTAGTTCAATAGTTAATGTGACAGAGTGGCTCAATGCTTTTGGGCCTACTCTTTTCAACATAATGACCTATGTAAACTTACAAAATTGTTCCTAATTCTCCATACAATTTGATTACTTAATGGGCAGTTGCTCTACTAAAAATAAAATAATGCAAATATACAGCCTTATAACGGATTCTACTTTTGGACAATAAAAGATAAAATTAGAAGTAACAAAAAAATTATCTTTATTTTGAATGTATTTTTTAAATATAGATTCTTTTTCTTAAATATATGGCTATAACAGGGATTAGGAAAGCAAATGAGTCTGTTTAAGATTACAGTGGTGCAAATATAAATATTTGTTGAAAAACCCTTTTCTAATGATCTAATCCAACAACAAGTTGATATAAAAATAGATAAACTTCTTTACTAGCTTTCACCTGCTATGGTAGGACCATAGCTAAACCTACCCTTGAGCCTCTTGAGACTGCTCCTCTGAAGCTGGTGTGACTTCTACAGTGGGTTGATCTGAAGCAGCAGCAGCAGCAGAAGCCTCTGGTCTAACCTCTGGTGGAGGTCTCAGTCCTTCAGCCAGCTCCAGCTCACACTTGGGTGTGCCTGTGGTTGTGCTGGTGGACAGGGTAATTCTGCAGAACTCAGAGGGGGACTGCAGATAGAAGCCTTGGCCGTCTTTGGTAAAAACAAATGATGAAATGCCACTGAAAAGCAAAGTGAACAGCCAGTTTAGAGTAAATATCTCAAAGATGATAGACATTTGAAACATACAAGCAAATGTTCATATAACTAAGAGCTAAACCAAGATGTTTATATAACTAAGAGCTAAACCAACATGTTCATATAACAAACAACTGCACTTACTTGATATCTTCTTTACGAAGAGATGGAACAGTGAGCTGCCTTCTAAGTGTAGACACTGAGTACACACGTAACTCCCCAGTATTTGTTAAACAACTTATGTCATATTCATTATAAGCATCACCTGGAACAGCATAAAAAATACACATAACAAAACACCAAAATAGCTAGTTGAGTTTAGTTATTGAGTTTGAAAAATAAAAATCTGATAATGTAATTATAAAATGAAAATACTTACCCTCTCGTCTGAAATTGACAAAATTTATCTTTCTAAGCCTAGCACCATCAATGGCTGTGATTTTGTTCTTCCATCTGGGTTTCAAGTTGGGCAGGGAGAATGTCTACAAAACAAAACAGCTATTTTTAAAATTCTGTCTGAAAGTTCTAAGGGCAACTTAAATTTAAATATTACAAAAAGTTGAATTGACATATAGGTAATGTAAAAAAAAAAATTGTGCATTATGGAAATACCTTCAATTGTTCCTCTGAGCAGATGATAATGGAATGTTGTCCTTCCATGTCAGGTGCCTTAGCTCTTTCATTGATGACTTCAAAGGCATCTGGCAGAACAGTGTTTTTACCATCTATGACAGCCATGCTGAGCACAGGTGCATGGTGCTTAAGTTTTATCTCCTTGGCCAACAAACAGGCAACATAATCACTCGTACGTTTGTCTGAAGGTGGTACTGTTAAGTTGTACACATAAATGTGACCTCCGTTTGTACCAACCCATAAAGAGGGATTATGTGAGCCACCTGGAAAGTTTAGAACATGTTGAAGTAGATGTTGACAAAATAATGTACTACTTCACAAAATTTCAAACATTTAAAAGTTGATAAACTTTACCTATAATAGTATGTCATAACATGTACAGATGATATACATGTTAAAATAGTTAGCGTGTAAAAGAAAAAATAACATACCATTGATTATAAAAGTGTCTGCGAAGTAGAGAGAGCGGACCATTGATGCCATGGAATCCTCACCACTGCGTGCCTCAACTTGTCTCTCTTCTGGCTTACATTCCCCAGCTCCAGTAGTGCTAGAGGCAGCTGGAGTAGCTGTTGCCTGGGTCTCCTCAATATGTGCTGTTGCTCTGTCAAAGTGACCATCCCATTAATCATTAGAAAATTGTTTAACAGGTTTACTAAATATAATGACAACAAAATATAGACAACTTACGTTTTACTTTCTTCCTTTTTGGTTCTGTCTTCCTTCACTTTCTTTTCTGATCTTCGTCTACGGAGTCTACGGAATGATTCACGAAGAGATTTTTTCAAAGATTTTCTGCGAGACATAGCAGTTTCAGAAGTTCCATGTAGATCTGTGGGGGTAAAAATTACAGGTGATGCTGTATGAATATACTACGCAGACAGACAACTAACGCTAATTGCTTACTTGTAATTTGTTTCCAAGTTTTTATTTATCTTACCATTGGGGTTAAGTGTGCATCTTGTTGCTACTTCTTTTTTCTGAGCATAATCTAACAGAGCAAAACCTTGACCAGTACCAGCTGCAACACTGAAATGAACAACAAAATCTACTTAGATACAGCTCTCATGTGACAAAAAAACAATAGTCGCAACTAGAACGGAGTGAGTCAAAAGCTTACAGCTGCCATTCTGAGTGAAGAGCTAATGCAGTGCAGGCAGCTGGGGGGTCTAATTGCATGATACATGTTGGCTGGAATCCCGCTGCATATTTCAAATCATCAATCTTACAGCTCAAAGCTTCATGACCTTTCCACACAAAACCTTCATGGTCACTCATTATATTCACTTTCACCTCCTGGAGAAAACCAAACAAACAATTACAGTACTTCCAACAAAAATTGTTTTCCAGAATATAAAACACAGATACTTTTACCTCTCCTGTCTTAAATGTTACAGCAGGTATCTACCTTAAGACCCCGTTCTCTCATTAAATTAAAATGTTTAATTAGCTACCTTAAGATCCTGTTCTCTCATTAAATTAAAATGTGTAATTAGCTACCTTAAGATCCTGTTCTCTCATTAAATTAAAATGTGTAATTAGCTACCTTAAGATCCCGTTCTCTCATTAAATTAAAATGTTTAATTAGCTACCTTAAGATCCTGTTCTCTCATTAAATTAAAATGTGTAATTAGCTACCTTAAGATCCCGTTCTCTCATTAAATTAAAATGTGTAATTAGCTACCTTAAGATCCCATTCTCTCATTAAATCAAAATGTGTAATTAGCTACCTTAAGATCCTGTTCTCTAAACAAATTTAAATGTGTAATTTACTACCTTAAGATCCTGTTCTCTCATTAAATTAAAATGTGTAATTAGCTACCTTAAGATCCTGTTCTCTCATTAAATTAAAATGTGTAATTAGCTACCTTACGATCCTGTTCTCTCATTAAATTAAAATGTGTAATTAGCTACCTTACGATCCTGTTCTCTCATTAAATTAAAATGTGTAATTAGCTACCTTAAGATCCTGTTCTCTGATTAAATTAAAATGTGTAATTAGCTACCTTAAGATCCCATTCTCTCATTAAATTAAAATGTGTAATTAGCTACCTTAAGATCCTGCTCTCTCTCCTGCCTCTCCATGTTGAAGATAAGAACCTGTCCAGCAGAGCCAGCAGCCACCAGAGTCTCACTCAGGGCACACAAAGCCAATTTCTGAATAGCCAGCCTAGGATCATCTGAGTAGGGGTCAAAAGTTCCAACCTAAATGGACACAAAGCTTTTTAGAAATCTTCTTATCAACTATAAAAATAAATGTAACCAAATTAAATAAAATTTATTTCATCTAGATAATTAAATCCTGCTCTCACCTTTCTAAATGGTGGCCATTCTTCATCCTCTGGACTGTGGCCATCTTGAGCATGGTCTTGAATACCAAAAACTGGAGTTGTGCTAAGTTTGTATATAAGTCGAAGGCTGGTAGATGATGCATCCCAGAAGCGAATTGAGCCATCTTCATGACTGAAAATAGAAAAACCAATGTACTAATGTTTAGCAACTGGAACATGTTTTAAAAAAAATTTATTACAGCGCAGCATTAGTAACACTATAATTATAGTAATAACTACAACTTACCCAGTCAGAAGCAAATCTTTAGATACTGGAGCACTAACCAAATTCTTTCCACCATTGACAGGCCATTCCTTTAAACAATTAAAAGTTCCAATAATCAAATAAAAGAAAATATGCAACATTCACATAATAGTAAAATAGTAAAGACTCCTCTAGACCAAGTAATACTTTGAACAGATGAAGTTGAGTTCATATGTTTCTTGACTCTGCATTTGAAGGGATATAGTGGTCAGCACTATGCCCAGCCGCCTTTACTTTCCCCAACATGAGTTAGATACCCATCAGAGCTTGTTGGACAGGGTCATTCTACTGACTTGAACCCAGATACTAACTCGAGACTTGCGGGTTAGCTGTCTAGTGCTCTACCACTAGGCCATGACATCCTATATAATAGTAAATTACTAACAGTAAAATTTTAAAACATTTTAAAATTTTGACAAAGCAGTATGTGTTGGCTATACTCACCCTGTTTGAATAGTTCTTATTCTGATTGTCTCCAGCGTCAATCATCTTCTGCCAGAGCTGCTCTGGTACATTGCTGATGTGTTGTGAGCAAGTGATGGCTGAGGAGTGCACGCTGTTCAGATAAGGCAGTCTAAATGATGGCCAGGATTCTGATTCCAGATCCAACACTACCAATTCTTCTTCTGCCAGGATTACTAAAGCATGAGGGTCATCTCGATCTAAAACAACAGAATTAAAATTTTTATGATATGAAAATAAAACTTAAAAAAAAAAATAAACCCCTATCTCTCTAGATAGAATATGTTACACCACTCACCAGATTCAATGGCGTTTTTCTCATCAGCTCTGTTGATGGTCACAAAGTCAACAATTCTGGAAGTCAGATCAGCCACCACATGGTTTTCTCCTTGCATAATGCTTACTGTGTGACGATCTCCGTAGCTTGCTCGGGGCATACCACCAGAGAAGGCAATCAGTGGTTCACTGGGTTGGTTAAAGTTAAAAGGATGTTAAAAATCTAACAGCAGAATTTGAATTCTGTATCACTGCTGGAAAAGAAAGTTGAAATACACTTACTTTTTAGTCATTTTCCACTGGAGTTTGTTGATTGCTTTGCAGGGAAATGGACCTGTTTAAAAAAATTCAATTCAATTCATTATAAAATTATATAAATTTATTTACATTCATGACAACAACACTGTCTAACACTTATTAACTTGTATAGGGCAGTAAACAAATTCCAACAGCAAATGCCATTTTATATCTTTGCCGGTCCCAATCTTCCTAAAAAAATTTGTGTGTGATGATTTAGTTTTTATTAATACATGGAGCGTCATTCATTAGCAATATTTTAGCATAATCCATTAACAATATTTTAGCACAATTTATTACTTGCTCATATTTTGTGACACTGCAAAATATACAAAATAGCACACATTTTACATACTTATTGTTCAAATGACTCCTTTATACACAACAAAATTGTTATTTACAAGTAAAAATTGATGAAACTCATATTCAAAGTAGAATGTTGTAGCTGGATGAGTTTTTCTGTCATTTTATATAGTGAATGGTGTGTAGGGACTAGTTATTATCATATATTGCAAGCTATCAAATATTGAAACTTACCATAAGGTGTTATGGCTGCCTCTTTAGGTTCAGATGAATCTCTGGCATTCCATGTGATGTAACTGCCATCATTGTGTGCGCTGATGAATTCTTCTCCACTACGGTGCCATGTGATTGACTCCAATTGCTACAAAAATAAATTCCAAAATTTTATTTCTTAAAGATCACATAAAAAGGTCTATTTTTTTTAAATTAAATAAAGTAACAATCCCAGTATAAGAGCAACATGTTTTAAACAACTGACTTACTTGAGAAGTATTGAAGGTTTTTTCTGATGCATTCTCTTTAGCATTCCATAATACAATCAATCCTCTGTTAAATCCAATCAGTAGCTACAATAATAAATAAATATACAGTTCAACAGGTAAGCAATATTTAAAAAGATGCAATATTTAAAAAGATTAATTTTTTTCAAAACTAGATTATAGTAGTGTTCTGAAGTTTATGTCAATAAATTTGAAGTTTCAGTTAATGTGTTTACCTTTTCTTCACTGACAGGACTGTTTGCAATGGCTTCTACTGCACCTGGGTTGACTTTAAAATCATCAGGGACACTGCAAATATAGCCACAAGGTAAGCATGTCACTACAGAACAACTTGCTTTAAAACATTCAATAACACATGGTCTATTTTGCAATAAGTAAAGACGAACTAAGTCAATCATTTTATAAACAAACAAAATTTACTTTTGAATAATGGCATCCATATTAACAACATCAGTCTCCTTGAGAGTCTTGACATCTATGAAGTGGACATTGCCTGTCTCTGTACCAACAAACAAGGTGTTGAAATCTGTACTTAAGCTGCATGTTGAGATGCTTTTCACTTTCCTGTAATAATAATTAAACCGTTTAAAATTAACATAATAACCTTGAGTGTTCAAAGTGCAATGAAGAAAAATTACATTGAAGCTATTTGATGACAGAAAGGAGTTTCAGTAAAAATAACGACTAGAAAAAAGTATATTATACACCTAAATTTATTTAAAATACACTTACAGAGGTTCAGCTCCATCAAATTTCTTCTCTTCCAGCACACTTGCACCATCTTTTAAATTAATCTCCCACAGATGCAGTGAGCTATCACTACATGCAGATATCAGACGACCCTGAAAGTCAATGTAGCAGTTTCAGTAATAAATACAGCAGACATTATTCAGTATCCAGATATCAAGAAATAAAATGTGTCATTAATTACCTCATCAGGGATGAAAAACATGCTATTGACTGAAACATCACCTTCATGCACTGCTGATACTTCAAATCCTGGTGTGCCATAGCTTTAGATGGTTAAGAGCCATACCAATGAATAATATAAATAACCAAAATGATAAACAGATTTTATTACTTAATCTTTAAACTACAGTTCTACTACATGCCAATCTATTCAACACTACAACATAAGTAATAAATATTATTACTAACGTCTAATTAGAAACTTGAAAATAACCATCAAATAAGTAAGAATATATAAGGTGATTACTGATAAATGTGTAACTATATAGCCATTGCAGACTTTTGCTTTTAAGGATACATTTTAATAACTCCAGATTTAGTACCAATGGCCAGAAGCTGTAGCTTTGGATCATATGCTAAAGCACTAGGCTTAGTTGGGAATCCATGTTCCACACACTGGAGAAATGAAAAAGAAATATTTAGGCTACTACATATTGAATAAAAACATTATTACATTATTATCAACAAATCACATAACTTGTTTTAAGATAAAACATAACATTAAATGAGCATTGTGGAAGTTGATTCAATATAATTTTGAAACTCACCTTTTGAAACTTAAATAGTTCTTTTTTCAAACGCTCTCTCTCCTCCCCCTCCTTGGGAGGATGTTTTTTGAAAAACTTCAACATATCTGGTGGGAACTAGAGCCTGTAGAAGAAAAATACATAAGCTATACAAGACACATAGATGACAAATAGAGATAACTATCAAAAACACAAGCTATATATCTACAAGGAGTAAGATAAATACATAATATGGTGTAAGGTTGATAGGAATAATTACTAAATTATTATGATGCATTATTCAGAATATTGGGGTCAAACAATTTTAAAGAATGTGGAAGTTAATGATAAGATGATTTTTAAATCATAAGTGAAAGACTAACAAATCCATTAGATCAAGGGCTCAGCTAGGACTAGGTGGGCAAATATTTAAATACAAGCCTAGAACAGTATTAGGCATTAGGCCTAATAAATATATATTAATTAAGTTAGCACAGCCCAAAGTGATACAATTTTAGAATATTTAAGTTGAAATAATTTTTTAAAACAATTTCTATATCTAGATCTGCAAATAGGCCAACTGCATCATAGAACATTATTATAGCCTCAGTCAGTGTAGATCAACAAATAAGGAAGTGGCTATTAGGACCCGGGTCCCAATAGCCACGGCCGCTATTGGGACCCGGGTCCTTATAGCCTCGGCCGCTATTGGGACCCGGCATTAAGTTCGTTAAGCACTTGAACAGCCTGTATTAAAATTATACCTTTTATGTTTATTTGATTTTTCTTGTAGATTTGCTCGTATTTTGTTGTCTTATATTGTAATTAGTTATGCGGATTATCTAGCGTTAGTTCTTGTGATGCTATTTCTAAATACCCTATATTTAGCTAAATATAGATAAAGATTAATTACTTATCAATTATTGTAAGACGTCGTGGTCTAGTGGAGAAAGCAGTACCTCCCGCATCTCGATTAGTTACGGGATCGGAACCTAACAAAGCTCTCTATTTTGTGTGAAGTAAAGGGTATTTATCTAAGTTTAAAATTCCCTTTGAGTTGTTTGGTTTAAATTTTTTTTTTATTGTTTTTATTAAAAAGTAGATTTTTTTTCTAGATTTAGGTTTTCAAACACGCTAATTATAAAAACTTCGTTGCTCCATTGATCGCCCGCTCGCGTTTTCTGGTCAGCGCAAGTCACTTTGGTTTATATGTGAACAGTGTAGGCGTATAGCATACGTCATAGCAAAACCATTGCTATGAGCTTGTCGAGATTTGTTGACGTCGTAGTCCCCCCCCCCCCCTATCCCAAGCCAGCAAGAGGGAAAAACGGATTTGGGGTCATTGTGAGTTCAAATGTTTCATCTTGCTTCTATTAAAGTGTACTACAACGCATGCGAGATATTCGTGTTTAAGAAAACGGGCCCGGGAGCTGTAGTCTGCAACCTATATGGGCTATCTAATACAATTATATATATATATATATATATATATATATATATATATATTTGGACGGACAGACCTATGAAATAAAATTACGTTTAACGGAAGAAAAAAAAATAAAACACATTTTAACATGCGCGCTCAACATTCGCTCGGCCATAGAAGTTCATACCATAGGTCATAATTATATTATAGACCTAACGACACCCGCTCATCATAACATATCGGGCATTTAAAGCAAGATCTCAATATATCATTTAGAATTACAAGGAAAAAAATCACAACAGAAAAGATATATTCTGCATCTTAAAAGAATTTTTGTATAACTAAATCTTAACAATTCTATTGGCTGGTCCCAATAGCGGCCGTGGCTATTGGGACCCGGGTCCGAATAGATGCATCCAACAAATAATAGTCTATTCTAGAGTTTTAGATCTAAATTTCTAGCAATAACTCAATAACTGTTTGTATAACAAACTGATCAAAAAAAAAAAGGGCCTGGGCTACTAATTCTAGCTCTACAAGTCTAGATTCTAATATAATAAGTCTAGATCTAGAATCTAGATAGACTCAAGAATCTAGACTTAGACTACTCTAGAGTAGATTCTATTTGTAAATTGAATTTGACAATTTGATTTGGTATGATTTGAAAATACCCGTTACCAAGTCTGGTCTCAGTCAGTAGTCTAAAAGTCTAGTAGGCCTATTGAAATAATTAGGCAAAAAAATTAGATAAATCTAGAATCTAGATAGAGAATCTATATGCGTACAAGGTCTCCGATCAGTATTACTTAGCATTTAGGAAATAAAGATCTTTATCTCGACGCCGGTGTTGTGATTTTTACAGTAGAACTGTAGACACGGACAGTTGTGCTAAAAAAAAATCCGCCAGCAGGCTAGGTGAGAAAATTGAAAGTTTCACAAAAATATAGCCTAGAAATCTAACAATTATCATAGAATAAATAGACCCCCGCTGGCTTCTTAATTTATTGAACTTACTTCTGAAACTAAATTATACAAGAAACAATATCCACACGTTTTCTTGCACAAATCTTATTGCAGACTTTGAATGATAAGCCGCATAAGCCTATCCTACTTTTCGTTCAAATGCAAGGGAGAATAATAATAAGGGGAAAAAGCGTACACAAGCCTGCCAGATTTTTCTAAATTTGTAAGTGAGATCAACCAAAAAAAATATGTGAGACGTGGTAGGCAATAATAATATGAATTAGAAGCCACAAATCCATAGTGTTGTAATATTAATAAACAGTGTTGTTTAAATAACATTTCTTTTTAAAATAAAACTTCACGATGATTAATGATATTAATAATACTATAAATATAGAGTAGTGTGTATATATACTTAATGTCCTGATTAATCTAATAGGCCTAATGCTTAAATCTGTTAAAGATTGAAAGCTAAAACATATATCTACTTGACACAGGATATTATTAGCTACATTTATCAATCAGGTTTATTATTACTATGATTCTTTGATTTATTTTCGGCAGCTATCTGTGGGGTGGGGATTTGAATACAAACTGGCAAGGTCAGGAAGTAGCTGCGTGTTACAGGCCTACATTTTGATTTTAAAGTATGAAAACATAATTCCGACTAGATCTAGATCTAGGCCTCCGCGCTATCAATTCAATACAGATGAGGTGCTATATGTTATAGTTTATATTGTTTTGAAAATAATTGGGTAAACTGATATTTCTAGAATCAACATGCCCTTTTACAAGCGAACAATATGCCTCAACTTAACCCACCCATTGTATCATTTTTAAATAGACACCTGCCCAGATTTTTTTGGTCTGCTAGATTAGTAAAATGTGCAGTGAAGTGAACTGAGTTTTTAAAACCAATACGTTTGAATCATCAAAGAAAAAAGCGAATGAAGTAATTATACCAAGGCCTCCGTATTATTTTGGGTACCTCAATTAAAATGTTGAGAATTATCATCAATGTTTTGTAGGAAGCCTGTCAGTTTCTGTCTAGTTTATTAAGAGCTCTAATTTGAAAACATCACAGACTAGATGCATTAGCCCACATTTAAAACTTCACATGGTCATGGGCTAATGATTTTCTGCACACACAAACGTTATAGGCTAATAGTGATCTATTAAACACTTAAATAAAAGCTGATATATATGCCCGCAAAGCTGAATTTCGCGCTAGTTAAAATAAGTAATAACAATAACATTATGAAACTTTTCTTTAGCGTTGTGGTAGTTTTTTTTTTTTTAAATCCCGTTTAGACAACATAACATTCTCCGCACGAAGTTCGACTATCAATTATGACATGTTTTTTGCCAAACATTAAAGTCTAAAAAATAAAACATGATAACGAGTGGTGTATGCACTGAATGACCTCAACTTTGTGGTAGGGTGCGCATGACTCTCACGCTTAATTTAATGTCTGTCGCTGTATTGATTTTACTGATGGCGAGCTCGACTCAAGCAGCTCAATCTTATTTTCTGTTTGAGATGACAAACATTTTTTTGTCGTCGCTCAAATATTGATCCAATAACTGTCTACCCCTTCACTGCGCATGTGCATGAGGTGAGCTGTGTCCAAAAATAGCAAGTATGACCCAAAAAGGAAACCAGCGCTGCAAAATTACAATATTAAAGATTCGAATATAATTATCACATCTAGACTAGCTTTGATTCAACCCTAACTAAATTGTGGGGGTGGGGTATTCTGAGACATTTATAATAAAATTCGATAAGACGATTTTTTTTTATGTTGTGGAAGGCTTCGATTTTATAACAATGTCGCGTGACAATGACATTCCCCCCCCCCCCCCCCACTACCCGTAATTTCGAAGCAACATCCACCGCATGTTACTGTTAGTTAAGAGCAAAGTGGAAAGCGGGTATTAGTATCGATCCTGTCCTTTTCTCCCATTTTCTGTGATAATAATGGCGCTGTACACCGACAGGGTTGCCAGACGGGACTATTGATGTACGAGCTGAACAATATGACCGGCAACATCGACCTACAAACTGAACGTAAAGATATCGATCACAGGCCTGGCGACTGGACCTTGCTTGTCTTGTGTACAGTCGCATTGATTCGTGGCTGAAGGGAAAGATTAATGAACATACCACTTGTTACCGTAAAATGTGTTACAGAAGATAAAGTGACGTAAGACAACTGAAAGGTCAAAGGTCATCCGTACCAAGAACAAAAACACATGTAAAACCTGCGATAGTAACTATGACATGCGGGGTTTTTTTTTGTTACGTAACCATAAAATATTTCAAATTCAATCAGAAAAAAAAACACAGGGCAACGGACGGAAAAGGTTAGGGACCCCTAAACTGACCAACAAGGAGTAGCAATCGCCGTGTTGTGCTCTAGTAGATACTACTTTTTTACTAGTCCAATTAGTAAATAAGCTTAGTTAACATTGAAATAACACTGTAGATTCTATATCTAATGTTGCCCTCCAAGAAATGTAACATTCAATTCGAATAACTCCTGTGCATGGATCTGTAACAAGACTGATTATATACGTGATGTAGTCCGTAGCATTACAATAATTACATTTAAATAAATAGTGCGTGGATCTGTATCAGTCTTGATACCTTACTAGTCCATAACATTAAAATGGAATAAATACAGTGCATTGATCTGTAACACTAGTCTTGTTAACATACCAGTAACACTACACCAGTATAAAGAATACGGTAACCT